GGCGGAAAACGCAGCGTGGAGCTGACAGTGCTGAGCACTGGAAGTCTGATTCGGACCTTGGCAGCGCTGACTGATGAGCGATTTCATTGGAGCCTTCCAGATCTGGGTAGATACTGAGGCCATGCAACAGATTTTAAAATAACCGTCGGGCAGTCCAATATAGTGCCTTGGTGACGTTACCGCATTGACATGTTAAGACGTCATCACGACTATCGATTTAATGCATCGGCCCGGGCGACCAAACTTCCCCATGACATCGGGTGGACAATTTTTTGGTGGTCACTGTCGCGTTTTGAGCATCGCCGCTCCCCGTTCGTCCATTCCATGAGTCGCGTGCCCCCTTGGCCCGCAGCTTTCACGGTCCCCGCGAGACGCGGCCAGGCGACCCCCGTGACCCCGAGCGCGCCGCGACGCCAAGCACGGTCCAAGACGCCAGCCTCGGTGATGCGCGCCACGCCGCGTGGTGTGCGGCGAGGTCGGCTCTCTTGATGACGGCTGCGCAGGGCTCTCTGGCGTCATCAGCCGAGGCATACGCCATCGGCGAACGCGCCCCCCTCCCCCGCCCGTATATCACCGACCCGCAGTTACCGGCGTGGTGAAGCATGGTTCAAATAAACCCGCATGCACGGGACGACGTTGGGAGGCCCTGAGCATCGATTGCCATTTCAGCTGTGCCCATCGTCACAAGCGAGCGCGTTCCGCATAGGACCCGGGATGGATGTCAGCGCCGGCACCGCACCTACCGCGCCCCCCCCTCCCCCCCATCATCATCCTCTCGCCGCTACTGCCGAGTCCCCCCTCTCTCTCTGACAGCTGCGCTTTCCACCCCGCGAGGCTCTCGGAGCCGGCGATTTGTTCCAGAGAAGGCGTCGTAAATAACCTCCCACACTGGCGGCCGGGGCCGTGCGCTGCCTGCAGGTCAGGTGGGCGGCGAGCTCCACCTCGGGGTTTGGAATCGTAGCAACGCGCACGGCACGCCTGTCCACTGCTGGATGAGGGCCTCCCCAATCCATCACTATCATCAGCAGCAGCCATGGTCACTCCACTGCTGGATGAGGGCCTCCCCCCATGCCGTGCGGGGTCGTGGTGGTTATTTGATGATTTAATTCAACTTCCCCGTGCTGATCAATTCGGGTTGGAGAATCTGTGGAGCATGGAAGTGGAAACATCGAAGTACCGAACAACACTTTGATTTTTGCTGCACTGCTTTGCCCACAACAAAGACCCACCCAGACTCAGCCCCCTGCTTGGCTTGCGAGATCTGACGAGATCGCGGACGAGATCGACGCATTCCAGTTGATCTGGTCATCGGCGCGGCGCCATGACCGATAATATAATCGATCAATGAATCAATGACGGCGAGTCAATGGGCACGTGGTGGCAATGGTGAGTGTGGTGGCGAGCTTGGCGTTGGTGGGACGGTGAGGCCCTCGACGTGGAAGGCTGCGGGTGGCTGACAAAACTGATTTCTTGAGAACCGCTTTGTGTGCCAATCTTGACTCGAAGCTTTCGTGACTGAAAGAATTCATATTCTTTGGGTCTTTCGGAAAAGTCACTCAGATAGGTTCAATTACGACGTTTCGATCGCAACACAAGCAGGTTGTAGTTTTTTTTATAATGTTCTTACCTTTCTACGCGACTTTACCGAAAGACCCAGACTGGCAATGCGCCTTGTGCGTGTTTAGTTTGTCGTGTGTCCCCCCCGCCCCTCCCGACCTGCACGGTTGGCTACGTACGGTGCGAAAGAAGTTCAACATACATGTGCGTACACAGGCCGCGCGTTGCGCTCAGTGTAAGGGGGACGCGTGGTGCTGGCGGTGGTCGCAGCAGAGTGCAGGTGGGTGGTGGGTGCGTGTTAAACTTCTTGCGCGCCGTACCGATGAGCAAACCGCGCTAATCGGAGGTGGTTGTCGCTTTTCGGGATTTATTATCCGATTCAACAATAATCCTCTCTGGCTTGTTGCGCTGCCTCGCCTGGGCTGGAGCGGTGGCGCAGTGGTTAGCGCGCTGCGCTTTGAACCTGCCGACCCTCGCCAACCCCATTCATCGACCTGGACTGACCCAGGCGTGGGGAGGGCCTCATCCAGCGGTAAATTGACGAAAGGCGCAATAAGATGTACAAAGATTGCCTGTATAGCCTTGAACAGGCAAGTGCTGGTAGCGAACTCATATTAAGGCCAGAATGGCACACGAGTGGTTGGGTGGCCAACACCACGCCCGGCCGCCTTTGTCTCCCCGATGCTGATGTTTACACCTCACACCAGGTACTTACTCATTTAAGGCTGAGTCGATCTAGGGGAGGCCCGGGACCGGTTCAGATAATCGTCGCTGGCGTTGGCCATCAGCGGAAATCGAACTCGGGTCGCCGGGTTCGTAGCGCAGCGCCCTACCCGTTGCACTACCGCTCCCTCACACACAGAGACAGACACACACAGACAGACACACACACACAGACACACACAGACACACAGAGACAGACACACACAGAGACAGACAGACACACACACAGACACACACAGAGACAGACACACACAGACAGACACACACAGACACACACAGACACACAGAGACAGACACACACACAGACACACACAGAGACAGACACAGACACACACACAGAGACATAGAAAGACACACAGACAGACACACAGACAGACAAACACAGACACACAGAAAAACACACATAGACACACAAAAAGACAGACACAGAGACAGACACACACAGAGACAGGCAGACACACAGACAGACAGACATACACAGAGACAGACATACAGACAGACACACACACAGAGACATAGAAAGACACACAGACAGACAGACAGACACACAGACACACACAGACACACAGAAAGACACACACACAGACACACACAGACACACACAGAGACAGACAGATACACACACAGACACATTCAGACAGACACAGAGACAGACACAGACAGACACAGGGACAGACATAGACAGACAGACACACACAGACACACATACACAGACAGACACACACAGACAGACACACACAGAGACAGACACACACAGAGACAGACAAAGACAGACACACACAGACAGACACACACAGAGACAGACAGACACACACAGACACACACAGACAGACACACACAGACACACACAGACACATACACAGACAGACACACACAGACACACAGACACTCACAGACAGACACACACAGACACACACAGACACACAGACACAGACAGACACACACAGAGACACACAGACACACACACATAGACAGACGTGTGTGTAACAAGCTCGCGTGACGGGCAGAGCGCTGGCTAAAGCGGCACTGTGACCACGAGACACGGGCTGCAGCTGCAGCAGCAGGATGATGATGATGATTCTACTGCTGCTGCTGCTCCTGCAGCTGCAGCAGCAGCAGGATGAAGATGATGATGATTCTACTGCTGCTGCTCCTACAGCTGCAGCAGCAGGATGATGATGATTCTACTGCTGCTGCTCTTGCGGCTGCAGCAGCAGCAGGATGATGATGATGATTCTACTGCTGCTGCTCTTGCAGCTGCAGTAGCAGGATGATGTTGATGATTCTACTGCTGCTGCTGCAGCTGCAGTAGCAGCAGGAAGATGATGATGATGATTCTACTGCTGCTGCTCCTGCAGCTGCAGTAGCAGCAGCAGGATGATGATTCTACTACTGCTGCTCCTGCAGCTGCAGTAGCAGGATGATGATTCTACTGCTGCTGCTCCTGCAGTAGCAGCAGGATGATGATTCTACTGCTGCTGCTGCTCCTGCAGCTGCAGTAGCAGCAGCAGTAGAATCATCATCATCCTGCTGCTACTGCAGTCGCAAGAGCAGCAGCAGTAGAATCGTCAACATCATCCTGCTGCTACTGCAGCTGCAGGAGCAGCAGTAGTAGAATCATCAACATCATCCTGCTGCTACTGCAGCTGCAGGAGCAGCAGCAGTAGAATCATCAACATCATCCTGCTGCTACTGCAGCTGCAGGAGCAGCAGTAGTAGAATCATCAACATCATCCTGCTGCTGCTGCAGCCGCAAGAGCAGCAGCAGTAGAATCATCATCATCCTGCTGCTGCTGCTGCTGCAGCTCCGGTTCATCCGCGCCCCCACCCCGCGTCACTGATCCCCCCCTCTGGGGCTCTTTACCCAAAAACAACTCCAGCGACGAGCAGCGAGAACAAGCAGCAGCACCACCAGGCTGTGCGTCGTGACAGACAGGGAACAAGCCAGACACCCCCACGCCTCCATCCCACTTCTCGTCTGCACTCGCGAAATAGAACAGGGACAATAAGTCCCGCAGTCAATTCTCACGCGAGTGATTTTACGTGGGTTCGAATGGACAAATCTGCGCGTGGTCACCGTGCCGATGGCCACTGCGCGTCTGTGGGTCCCGACCATCACGACCCACGCCCGGAGCGGATCCCACGACGGTCAACAACACTTTTTGCCAATGCAGAGTGCTTTGTGCTGTTCACCTGCTATAGTGGCGTGGCCATTCACAATCTCCCACCAGTTTTTACACGCGGCTTTACCCGCGTTTTTACGAGCAGCACTTAACCATTGACCATCGGTTACCTCCGTCATCTTTGAATGAGTGAACAATCTCCTATGGAGGCTGGATGTTTGCTTGTGCCTTTGGATAAATGTTGAAAATAATAATTTACAGGCCTGCTGGTTGCAATATGAGCCTCAATGTACCATAATCAGCCACGATCTATCCACTGCTTGATGGAGGCCTCACGAGCTGATTTCATCGCTCCATCTCCACGGAGGATGTGCTGGAACTCGGGCGCGTTACCTCCTTCGGCCGTCACTCCGTCTTTGCTCTCGACCATTATTATTATCATCAACAACCATTATCCTAACCATCTGTATTAGCGTATGATTTTTTTGCACAACACGTGAGCAGTCAAGTACAGTGCCCGCGTTCCACGAGACACACTTGAACGCATCCCGTGCGTGAAATTGATCCGCGCCGTCGCCGCGTGTCGCCCGTGCTCAGAGCGGGAGGAGTGCCTGATCGAGGCGCCGCCACCTCGTGGGTCTGGGCTCGACTCCCGGTCACGCCACCCTCCCGGTAAGATCCCTCCTCTCCGAGCTCCCTCGCCCTCTCACGGGGAGGGACACTGCGTAGGGCAAGGGGGTGGGGAACCTTTTTTTCTGCCAAGGGCCATTTGGATATTGATATAACATCATTCGCGGGCCATACAAAATTATCAACTTAAAAATTAGCCTGTTATATTTGGTCAAACATTTAATTGACTCGCCTCTAATGTGATGGCTGGAACTGCTTCTCTTTGGCGAGGCGTGTGATGTTAGCTGCTGTTGATGATGTTGCTACTCGCAACTGCTTTTCCAGGTTTGCGCCTAGATTTATTGAATTTCGAGTCCCACCTGCGGTTGCCTTGGCAGGGCCAGAGACCAAATTATTTCGCGGGCCTCATACGGCACGCGGGCTGGACGTTCCCTATTCCTGGCATAGGCAATGGGACGCAGCGGTGACGGTGATCGAGACACTGCTTGCGAGATCACTTCCATCGCACGCCAGCCGCAGCATTCGCCCTGCCACAGGGGATTGTTGTGGGCACGTAGCAGTTAAACCAATCTTTGTTGAATAATCATCGGAGCCGAGCGTTAGCTGTATAACGTGAAAGACCACACTTGATGTGATTACTTTTGGTGTGTATTCATTGGTGACCGGGCTGAAACCATCAACTGGCTACACTTAAGAACCCGGTTTTAATCATGGGTGGATGGAACCCAGTTTTGAACCCAGGATCTCAGCGTTGTCAGCTTGGCACTCTCTAACCCCAGGAACCGCGCGGTCACCCCCACAGAAAGTAATTCCTAACGGTAGTCCTCATCTTTATTGCTCATCTTCTTCACGTGCCACTGGTCCACGTGCCACTGGTTCACGTGCCACCGGTCCACGTGCCACCGGTCCACGTGCCACCGATTCACGTGCCACCGGTCCACGTGCCACCGGTTCATGTGCCACCGATTCACGTGCCACCGATTCACGTGCCACCGGTCCACGTGTGATACGGCCAACGCAGCTTCGGGGCCTCCGGCCCGAAGACCTGGGAACGAGTTTCCAGCTCACGTTCGGGATCCATTCCTGAGCCTGAGCCAGATTTGCAAGAGACTTGAAACGGCGCAGTTCCAAAGAGCTTGCAACGTGTGATGGGTGTGCATTCGTGATAGACTGGACTCACAAGAGTTCGCGATAAGAAACGCTCAAACTTGCTTTGTAAGTTTCAATGTATGTCTGATGTGTGTGTGTGATGACAATGCTTGCATGCATGCGTCCATATGCATGGGTGTGTACGCGTGTGTCTGTGTGAATGTGTATGCGCATGTGTCTGCGTGAATGTGTGTACCCGTGTGCGTGCGTGTATGTGTGTGCGCGTGTGTGTGTCTGCGTGTATGTGCGCGCGCGTGTGCGATGACGACGCTGGCGCACGCCGATCGCAAGACGTGGACGCGCAGCGAGTGCCGCTGGGATGGGGCGGCGCGACGGGCCGTGCCTTCACCCCGGACTCGGCGGGGGGCGACCCGGCGCGGGGGCCGTACGGCAGCCGGCCCGGCAGCAGGATCCGCACGCCGGACTTCGGCCGGGGCCCCGCGCGCATCGAGTGGGGGCCCGAAAACCAGGCCATCGAGGGGGTCATCCTGTACGGAAGCACGCTGGTGCACCGCTCGGGGTACGCGCCCAGCGAGCGGCGGAGTCGAGTTAAAACCCCACCACACTGTGGTCGTCCCTTGCCTTTTGTAGAAGCAGGTGAGAGCTCTCTGAGCCCAGGCCGTGGCAGGGTGAGGTGCAGGTGAGGGCTCACTGAGCCCAGGCCGTGGCAGGGTGAGGTCCCCGTTACTTGCACGCTGCAGAATCAGAGCCCAATGGATTGATGTGGAAAACAACACCATACATGCAAACAAAATAGTGAAATAAAAATAACAATACGATGCAACACTTGACAATACATTGGAATACTGACAACAGTAACACGTTTTAAAATAACTGACATTTCAAACTGTAATCAAAGTTATTTCTATGCACCCAGAGTGCACACCAAGTTAAACCAAGCAGAAACCTCAGAAACCATTGTCACCGGCACTGTTTGTTGCTCTGCACTCTTGAGACGCTGCGCGACGTTGGGCACACAGCGAGCGTGGGTTGTCGTCGTCCAGTCCCTACAGAGTGCGAGGACCGTCGGAGTACGGAGTCCGCCCCGCGCGGTCCCCGTCGGAGCGAGTCGCCAGCCCCGCCGTCACCTCGCAAGCGGTGCCGGAGGACGTCGACAGCGGCGGCGTTGTCAAGACGACCACGGCGACGCCGGTGACGCCGCACCGCAAGACGGAGACCCCGGCGAGCTACCAGGACGTGGTGCCCAACGAGCTGGACGAGCGGAGGGGCGCGGGGGCGAGGCACCCCGCGCCGCACGGGGCCCGGATCCCCCCGCACGCCCACCCGCCGCTGCCCCTGCGCAGGCGTCTGGAGACAAAAAGGGACGCGGCGGCGGCCGGTACGGCGTCCGAGGCTCCCAGGGAGATGTTTTATCGAGGCGGCGTGAGGATGCCTTCCAAAATCCAAGACAAGCTCAAACTGCCCGACTGGCAGCGGCTGGCGTCGTCGTCCCCCAGCCAGCCGGCGACGAGGAAGATTCCGCTGTTCAGCTTGTGGAGGAGCCGGTCTTTCGACCAGTTGCCGACCGTTCCGCCGGTCAGCAAAGCCCCGAGTTATTCGAAGGTCTATTCACCGCAGTTGGCCAGGAGGCACGGCAAAGATGGGGAAAACGCCCAAGACGCCCCGGGGAGGTTTCCCGCGAGGGGGATGAGGGAAAAGGCAGCGTCCCTCGACGACATGAGGCCCGCGACTCCAGAGCAGCGGGAAAAGCAGGAGCGCCGACGCGAGGCCGCGTCGCCGGCCTTACCGAGGAGCGGATCCTTCTCGCCGCTGCCGGGCGGCAGAACTCCGAGCCCGAGGGAAGCGTCGAGGTCTCCGAACGGGTGCCCGCAGAGGGTGCTGTCGGGACTCCCGGCCGACAAGGAAGGGAGAGGCGAGACGCGCGACCTGCCGGCGCCAAGAGAGAAACCGACGGAGAGCGACCGGCGCGAGGGGTCGATGGCGGCTCCCGCTCAGCCCGGAGCTGCCGCTGTTGCACCCTGGAGGCAGCGTCCCACGACGGCGAGGAGTGGCTCGCAGGGCAAGGATGCAAAGGGATCCAAGGCTTCGGAAGCGAAGGTTCCTGGCGACGACTCGAGGCGGCTCGGCGGAGTTGAAAAGCCCTCGGCGAAAGCGAGCAGTTCGGCGGTTCCCGCGGTCGCTTCTCGTTCACGCGTGGACGTGCACGCAGGCGCGGAGCGGGGCTCGGGCGGAACCGTAGAGGGAACGATCTCCAGCGAACCGCCGACATCCGGGAGGCAAAAGGACACTCTACCCTTAGCGGCTAAAGCCGAGGATAAAATTGACATCTCCCCAGAAGGTCATGCGAAGGCCGTCCACGCCCAAAAGCGAATGCCGGCTATCGATGGTGGAATGCCGCCGGGGCAGCAGGAGGCGGAAGCCATGGATGTGGCGGAGCAGGGAGCGTGGGACGATGATCAGAGGCTGTCGAACAAGCGCTTTGCAGAGCCCAAAGAGCAAATCGATGAGAAGAGGAGGAGAATCGCCGGCGCCGTGCCCCAGGCCGACGAAGATGCGGGCCCCACGTTACACCCTTCAGAAGAACATTTGGATGTGGACAGAGGTACGTTCACGGACGCGTTGGGGACACCACATCGTTTTACCTGTGTGTTCCTCATGTGAAATAATGTCGTATTGTTGGGTCACTCTAATATATACCATTATTTGAATGCATTATATTGCACTAAAACACCGTCAAGTTGCGCGACAGCTTCCATAATTAAATATGCAACGGAAAAACGTCTTCATTCCACTATAATTGTAATGTTTTTAAATAAATCAATTAAGAATTGAGGTCAAAACGACGAAAGTAGCCCTATGCCCAAATAAGCATCGGGCGTTTGCTCATTTCTGTTTCTGTCCTGAGCGAGCGGTGGAAATGCCACGTTGCTGCGATGGTGATTGGTCTTTACCCCATGTGCGAATCTGTATTTATAGCGCAGCCTAATGTGAACTTCCCACCAAGCGGTGCTCAGTTTACACACCCTAGAGGGTGTGATGGACCGAGTTGACCTGGGTTGAGATTCGGACCGTCACTCTCAGAGAGGCCCGTTGCTCCCACTCAGTGACTCTGCGTCATGGCGGCACGCAGAGCCGTCCCCTGTCGGGTAACTGGAGCAGCGTGGTTGCACCGCTTTAAATGTTTTCCGGATGGTGCTGTTGGCGTCGCGTTGTCGTGAGATGGAGTATCACTTCGAGCCTCTCGCGGCGCAGTGCAAACCCTTCGCGTCAGGGAAATAGACACCACAGAGCTACCTCGGAGTTTCCGTCCAGTGACCACCGGCCTACGCCGTAGGGGGCGGCACTTTAATCCCACGAGCTGCGAATTTGGCCCTAAATGTAGCGCGGAACAAAATTGCGAGCGGCGGGTTTTCTTTTGTGGGAACGAAATATTTGACCAGACTAAATGACCTTGATTTGAAGCTTTCGTGACTGCAGGAATCCATACTCTTTGGTTCTTTCGGTAAAGTCACGTAGGTATGAAATAAAATAAATCACGACGTTTTGGTCAGAACACAAGCATTCGTCATCAAGCCTTTTCTCACCTGATGACGGAAGCTTGCATTGCGACCGAAACGTCGTGATTTATTTTATTTTATACCTACGTGACTTTACCGAAAGAACCAAAGAGTACGGACTAAATGCCGTCAACTCTCCACGCGCCTGGCGACTTAGTCCAGTCCGCGGGCAGCCGCCTCCATTGGAACCCAGAGAGGACCTCTGCGGGGTCGGGCTGAGCGAGCGGACACCTCGCGGCCCCCCCGCTTGACGCGCTGCTCGTTTGCCCGGCAGCCTCGGCGCGGGTCCCCGCGGGCTGCGCGGCGTCGGACGAGGAGTACTTCAGCTCGGTGGAGGACTCGCGGGCGGGCGCGCGAGGAGCGGGCGTCCTCTCCGACGAGGAGGAATACTTCAGCCCCGGGCCGAGCAGCCGCCCCACGTCGCCCGCCGGGGCCCGCGCGCGGCCCCCCGAGTTTCCAGGTCCGCCTCCGGGTCGATGGCAGCGGCCAACTCTCCCACGTCCTGGCCGGGACGTCTCGTCGGCCCGATGGACGTGGGGATGCGTCGCGCGTGCGGTGTGAAATGTTTAGATGGGCGGGTAGGCGGCTCGTTGAAGGACTGGATAAGAAGGAAGTGCATGCCACGCGCAGCTGTGTTCATTTGGGATAAATTGGGTGGCACAATCAACCGCCCCACCAGCGATTCATTGAATTGTCACGATTCAGAGTCACAGTTCGATTCAAGAATAAGTTTTTGACATTTATTTGAACAATAGCTCCTCTAGTGGCTGCAGGAGTGATGTAAACCAATTTCAATGCAACATGCGAATGGAAGAAATGTATATATATTTTTTCACACATGCGATTGAATGGATTTGATGCACACCTAAAAAGTCTATATTCATCAATGGGCTTATGCATTGATACAGATACAGCCCTGACGTAAGCACAAATGATAAGATGGATACGGTGTCACACCGGTGGGTGTGCGTGCGAGCGATTCATCTCACACCTCCTTGCGTGCATCGGTGTGCTTCAGGGAAGCAGCTGACCTGTCACTGCCCTGCGTTCCGACCTCGTTGTCTGTATCGCAGGTGGAGATGGCGGACCAGGAGATCGCCCAGGGCCGTGACGCCTGCTTTAGGGTGAAGGTCTCCGGGGAGCCCGCGCCGTCCGTCTCGTGGTGAGACGCGCAAGCGGACAGCGGCAGCTGCATGCTCACCTCAGCCCAGAGCGTCCGTGCTCATATCTAGAGACCTAAGGCCAATAAATGAATATTCCTAACCCGTAAACTCGCTCATATAAACTGGCAGGCTTTACTCATTTGTGAAACACAGTGTCGCCGCCACGACAACGGCATAAGTGCCTGATGCCCTAAACGAGTGGTTGGTTGAAGACTGTAATTGTATCTTCATCGGTATGTTTTAGAGCCCTGCACAGGCACACCTGTAACACAGAATTTCGGAGGCTAGAGTTAGTGGATCACACAAACATTGAGATGGCTTGGCAGCAAATGTCTTTGTTACATATGTCTGGGGCCGTGAGTGCGATTCCCTCTTGCCACATGCCAACCACTCACGAAAGAGGATTTAGATGACAGAAGATGGCAGACCAGACAGCAATCATGACTGAGTGGCATGCGGCTCTAGCACTGTGAGAGTTACAGCCTTCTGAAGGCCGCTGACATGGATTTGAAATGTCTCCTAAACGTAAGGTACAAGGACAACGTGTGGATCCATGAGGACGCTCGGCACCACGTCCGCGAGGAGGCGCGCTCCGTCTCCTCGCTCTCCGTGCTCCGGGTGGCGGCACCGGACGCCGGCACCTACAGCTGCCGGGCCGTGAACTCGGCCGGCACGCGGCAGTGCCAGGCCCGCCTGGAGGTCACAGGTGAGGCCCTGCGCCTTGACCGGCCGCTCACCTGTGCGTGCGTGCGCACGAAGTGAGTCGGTTCACGCTGACACTGTACTCAGCTCTTTCACAAAAAAATACAAAGGTCCCTGTGGAGACCCCAAAGCAGCTGGGGGCAAGAACTCTATGTACTGTATGCTGAACTTCATTCGTACAGTACGTAGTCAACCGTGCTCATCGCAGGTGGGTGAGTGCAACAATGAACTCGCCGACCTGAGTTTGATTCCTGGCCACGGCTAATGTCATTTGGTGAGCTTTATCAGAACCCGATCGTGGTTTTCCACAAATCAACGAAGTACCTGTTGCACCGTGTGCGCACGTGGACGTTTCACTGACGCCGGTTGCGGTGGTTTGCGATGTCCAGCAGAGGCGGCGTGGGAGGAGGGCCCCGTGCGGGCCGTCACCGCCCCGGCCGCCATTCCCCCGGCGCTGCCTGCGGACGCTGACAGCGACGAGCAGGGCGAGTAAGCGACACCACCTACAGTGTTACAGCCCGCGGTCTCTCCACTGCTGGGTAGTAATTACAAATTGTATAGTGGGGGCTCCCCACGCCATGATTGTGATTGGGTTTTTACTGCTGTCAGTGTTTTGTTTTTATGCACTGTATATATTTATTTTACCTCTGGTGTACAGCGCTTTGAGATTACCAGTTTGAAAGGCGCTTTATTAAACTGAGTCACCGTGGCCTTTTTCCGAAAGTACGAAACTTGGGGCGGATCCCGGAGGAGAGGGAGTCGGACCCGGAGCTGGGGGTGCTGCCCGATTTCGCTCGGCCGCTGCTGGACCTCGAGGTGGCCGAGGGCGCCACGGCCACGTTCGAGTGCTTCGTGTCCGGCCACCCCAGGCCGGCCGTCGCCTGGTTCCGCCAGGGCCAGCGTGTCGAGCCGTCCAGCGGCGTGATCATGGAAGACGGTCAGTGTCGTGCTCCTCACGCGTACCGATGTCCGGCGTGCCGTGCGCGTCGTGTACGCGTCGCGACGTCACGTCCACGTCACAGTGGCGAGTTGTTAACGACCTCGCCTGGTGTGCAGGAGGTCGTGGATTTGATTCTGACCCTGACGACTGCTGCTGCTGTATATTTGGAGAGTGCGTGTCTCTCTCTCCCCACGGTCACGTGGATTTTTCCCCCCAGTCCTCCAGTTTTTCCTTCCACATTTATAACCAACACGCGTTTTAGGTCACTTCTGAAAAAGAGCTTTAGCGCTCAGTGGGCCTTACCTGGTAAAATAAAAAAGTTTCGTTTAGTATCACGTGGTGATGAACGGTGCACGTGCATCCCGAGATCCCACCGGAGTGCTGTACAGCAAAAACCGTAAACACCAAAAGTGTTTGTGAGCGCCAATTCGTGTCCTACGCACATCCACAGTACACCCCTTTTCGTGGGTCCACTGCTGGATGAGGGCCCTCCCCATACCAATGTGGGTCGTGAGGGTCATTTGACCATACTTCACCATGCTGGCCAGTGCGGGTTAGTGAAGGCGGGGAGTGTAGAAGTTGGGGCATAGTACAGTACAACAGTGGGTTTTGCGTAACCGCCCATCCGCTGACAACGTGACCCCGCAGCATCCCACGCCGCCTGTATTGCGCGCGACGGTCGCCCATCCGAGGGCTATCCAGGCTCCGTCCCGCTCAGCCCCTGATACGTGCCGACACCGGACGTGGGCCGTGTGCTCTGGCCCTGGACCCCGCGCTCTCGGCATCTTCGCCCGCTCTCTCCCGGCCCCTGCGTCCGCAGGCAGGGACGTCTCGCGCCTCGTCTTCCGCGCTGCCGAGCCGAGCCAGCGGGGGGGTGTACAAGTGCGTCATCTCCAACAGAGTGGGCAAGGCCACCGCCTACGCGCACCTCTACGTCCGCGGTGGGTGGCCCGACGGGCCTTCGAACGCCCGACGTCAACGCTTCAGACGCCACGATGGTGTCCGGCGCTTTGCCAGCCCCCTGCTGGACTCAGGACTCCTCGTGCCGTTGTCGTTCGTGAAGTTTTGATTGGCCGTGCTCCACCTGCTGCTCGGTGCAGGTGATGTTAGGGGGCCGTCCATAAATGATGTCACGCACCTGGTCGGGGGGGGATGGGTCAGACATTTGTGACGATGTGTGACGAGGGGGGGGGGGGGTTTGAGAAATGTGACGTCACATCGAAATGCGCAACTTTAAATAAATATAGGACAACACGTTCTACTTAATTAAATAAACTTTTTAATAAATGTTTTCTCCTACAAGATCAGAGTGCAGCGCCACATTAAATACGCACTACAATGACAATAGTTTAAAGCGATTTGAACCATATTTTATATTTTTTTTGGGGGGGGGGGCAGGGCTTTGTGACGTCATATTTGAGCGGGGGTCTGGCTTTTTGTGACGCCGTGAGACGAGGGGGGTGTCAAAAATCGTACAAAATTGCGTGACGTCATTTATGGACGGCCCCTTAGCCATGGCTGAGAATCAAAACTGAAGTGTGCAGCTCAATGCACGAACCATGACAATACCGCCGCTGGTGTAGATTCAGTGTGTGAATTATGCCACGTGGACAGGGCAAGAGTCTAACTGCTGATGCTGAAGGCCATGCCAATTGTCATCTGCGTGTGTGGCTCCGAGCGGTCGTGTGGGGAGCGGTGGTGCAGCGGTTAGCGCTACGCTGCGCTACGAGCCCGGCGACCCAAGTTCCATTCCCGCTCACGGGCCAACGCCGGTGACTACTTTCTGAACCGGTCCTGGGCCTCACCTAGGATCGATTCAGTCTCAAATGAGTACCTGACGTGGTGTGTAAACATCGCCACTGGGGAGACAAAGGCGACCGGGCGTGGTGCTGGCCACCCACCCCCTCGTGTGCCGTGCCGGCCTTCAAAGGTGTTCGCTAACAGCACTTGGCCCCAACGGTCTATTGAGGCTATAGGGGGGATCTTTGTCTTTGTCTCGTGGCTCAGAGCTGAGTGCAGAGCTCCCAGAAGTCGTGCCCCATGTGGAGAGCGTCACGAGCCGATCGGTGGTACTCGCCTGGCACGCACCCAAGAAGATCCACCCGTCGCTAGGTAACAACAACCTTGCACGATGCGTTATCAAGCAATTAGCGGAACTTCGCGTCTCTAGAGATTTTAAAAGACGAACGGTCGAGTAACGACTTTAAGTAGCAATGACCATAGCGGCTAAACCTGTAGCTGTAAAGAAAAAAAATGTTTCTCACAACTCAAGAGATTAATTCTTAGCACGCAATACTCCTGCATCACATCAAAGAGGAGTCACTTCAGCTCACATTTTGAAGGTGGCGCTCGGTGTGTAACCATGCATCATCAATCCTTCCTATGAAATAGTTTCTTACGCCCCCTGGGTACACGCGCCCAATAAGACGTGTTAAAATAAACTATTTACAACGAAATCCAATCGTTTATGAATGTCACGTTCAACGGAGAAACATTAGAGCTACACAAAACTCCCTTCTGAAGCCCTCTCGTGCCAGCAGAGCTCGACATTGGACATTTAGCTCCCGACCACATTGCTGCCGTTACGCAAGAACAGACGAGGGGCAGGGAAAACTCCGTGCAAGCGACAGAATTCACCGCAATCTGTGCGGGCACAAAGCATCACGGCGCCCCGTTTGCCCTCGCCGACCCGCCGCGTCGTCCTCGCAGAGCCCGCGGCGTTGACGTACACCGTGGAGTGCCAGGCCGAGGGCCGGGGGGACTGGAGCGTCCTCGAGTCGAACGTCGGCAACGCCGGCGTGACGCTGGAGGGCCTGCCGCCCGGGATCGCTCACTCCTTCCGCGTGTCGTGCGTCACCCCAAAGTGCTCGGGGCAGCCATCGCGGCCCACGGCGCCGGTCACGCTGCCGCATCACGGTGGGCGCCGCGGGTCTCTCGTCAGCGCGGTGCCCCTCCTCTCGTGATGCTCATGAACACGTTATTGAAACGCGTAACGAGCGAGCTCGTGCAGCTCGGTTGCTCTCAGGCGCGTGTTTTTGGGCACCGTTGTTGTTTCTCTATCGTTGATCACTGTTATTTTAGTTGGGTATCTTTAATGGGATCACCTTGTGCTCTATCGCGATAATAATAATAGCGATGCAATTTGGGCACAAGAATTCAGGAAATAAATTACCGCGGGCCTGCGGTGCGGAGCATCGGAGTATTGTCATAACCTCGGGTAAGGGGGCTGTGCGGAGACGCTGACGTGTAACCCAGACCCACCTTGCCTTTTACAAACCCCCAACGATGCCCACTGATCTCCACGCATCGCGGATTGGGTTCCACGACTGTCACTATCATTGTCCCTGACTTATAGACGCACGTGGCGCCCTTTGCGAAATCAAAAAGCCAATCAACGAGGAGGCCGAATTAATATTTTGCAAGCAACCGCAAAAAAAATCGAGAACGCTGAGACGGGGGAGGACGTTGCAATACGCGTTGGCTTGGGTGTCCGTGTGTCCCTCAGCCACGTTCCTGGAGGAACCTCCCGCGGTTCCTGGAGAAGCCGGAGCCGGTTTACCGGCGTCGAGAACGGCCTCGTCAGCATCGGCTACACGCTCAACCACGTGCGCCGCCTCCGTCTCGTGGACCAGGTGGCGCCGCGCCGCCGCGTTGCCACCACGGGGATTTTTATGCCGTGACACCGCCGGCTCGTGGTTCGGGAGTAAAAACTCTCGGGCGAGCGTGGTTTTCCTTTTTTTTTCGGGTTGGGCCGCGTGTCGAGCAAATTGATCGCTCGAGTTCTCGCCAAGTGTGCTGCTGCTGTGGGCATCTTCAGGAGTTGAATTGGGTTCGGTTATCAATCCCCACATCACTGGAAGTCGACTCCTTCCTCAAATGCCCGCTGGTAAAAGCTTGGGAGAGTAAATGCTTGGCCCACTCTTGGATTGCGAACGATCGTGAAAACGTTGCATTGGCCAAACGTCCCAAATATGAAACCTCCTGGAAAACGATACCTGACACTCGGCAAGGCGTGCTGGAAAAAAAAAGGCCAAATTATTATTCTACAGAGCAATTGCCAGAAATATTTGGGCTATTTTCCCAATCGCTTTTTTGGCAGCTTAACTGACGACGCATTAAATTAGCCCAACAGAGATGACTTTAGCTCACCACGTCTGCCATCTTGCCAAGTATACATATAGATGTTATACTGATGCTAACAGTCTAAAATGGAAAAAAAAAGTATCTGTATATTTTCAGAGAAGGACAAAGGCGTACTCTCGTGCGTAGGGTTTCGCGGTTGTGCTGACGTTGTTCGGCGCAATGTCCGACGTTTCGCTCCACATGCCGGGAACTCCATGAGCTTCTGCGAGCTGCCTGGCTCAATAAATCAGAAATTCACTTCCAGAAGCCAAACGTGGATCAAACGTCGGACATCGCGCCGATCAACGTGCGGTACAACAAGACAATGCGACGGAGAGCAGAGAAAGGATGTTCTATTTTATTCAAATATTTGCTATTGTTATTACGACTTAAACTTGCAGAGAACCCGTTTCTATGCAATGGAGTATACGAGACAACTGTCATTTGCATGTTCTTTTTGCAATCCTGTACTTGGAGCACTAAAACTTGAGTTTTCTTTTACGTAATTAAATGCCAAGATAAAATCTATTACAAGTTTTTTTTTCTTCTAGGATTAAAGAGTCTAGCGACATAATATTACATTCTTAGCAGCACGAATTGACACGTTACACACATTTTACATGAACCACGTCAGTCCTTCTATTCCACTCCCACCTCTTCGGTGTCCCTATATATATACATCTTGCGAACTACGTCATCCACCCACTCAAGTCCATTCAGTGTTGTTACACGGAAAACCCCATTTAGCCAGTTACCCAGCTAGTTTCGGTGGCAAGGGCCCACAGCCACCGACAACGACAGTCACTGCTGGGGTGGCGGAGAGGAGTCCAGCAAGGAAACTGGGACGCCACGGTGGCTATGAGGATGTTAACTACCTTCACCTGGTGTACAGGAGGTCGTGGGTTCGATCCCAACCCTGACGCTTGCTGCTGTATATTTGGAGTTTGCGTGTCCTCCCCGGTGGTCGTGTGGATTTTTCTCCTGGTTCTCCAGTTTTTTCCTTACACAATTAGAATCAACACCACGTGTTAGAGTATATGGCTGCTATAAATTTCCACGCGATAAGCCACTTGGTTGAGCTATCATTTGTGGCCAGGTCGCTTCTGAACAAGAGCAATGTAGCTGATCAGTGGGCCTTACCTGGTAAAATGAAAATAGTTTAGTTTTACGTGGTGATGAACGGTGCATGTAGAATCCTTTTTTCCGATCAGCAGTACCATTGTGTGATGTTGACGGATTGCGACACCGTCCTCTGGGCGCACGGAACCTTCCGTGGACGCTCGCAGGGACGGTGAGGCCGTGCGGCTGCACGCGGGCGACTACGGCGTGCGTGTGCAGGAGGAGGACCGCTACCTGCTGCAGATCCCCGCGCTGGGCCGCGCGCACCTGGGCGAGTACGTGTGCGTGGCCAGCAATGACCACGGGGAGGACCGCTGTGTCACGCGCTTGCAGCTCGCAGGTACCGGCGCGGGCGGGGGGAGACACGCGGTCGGCAGAGTCTCTGCCGCACATTCACCTGACTTCTTGCTAGGGGCCGTGGTCGTGGTGGTGCTGGTGATGGATAGGCCTTCCTTTTCTGTTGATGCTGATGGTGGATGTAATGTCCCACCACGTGCTGACAATCAGAGGCTCCTCCTGCACTCATCGTCGTCATCATCATCGTCCTCATCATCCTACTTAGGTTAACGATGGCCGTATCTCGTGTATATCCTCCAACCCCATTGGTTCCCATCCTGTGGTCCACGGACTTCCCAGGTGCTCCACGGGGGTTTGGGAAGCGCTACAAATCTTTTCGCACGACACCAAATAATTTTTTTGCACAACTATTTAGATGAATCTATACAAAGCAAGTTAATCATTTGTATGGCTTTGTAATTACCATACTTCTGTAGTACTGTTAATATTGAAAAATTATTTATAGGCGCAGGGGCAGTCAGCGAAAATTGGTGTGGAGAGTTGCCGTTGGTCCAGCGGGTCGAGAAAGGAAGGTCGTGGGAAGCACTGCTCTGACGCATGCGTTACTCCCCGTGTCCCTCAGAGCCACCGAAATTTGAGGACATCATGGAGGACGTGCAAGCGAGGCCAGGCGGCACGTGCAGCTTCACCGTGGTGGTGGACGGGAAGCCAACGCCCGACATCCTCTGGTTTAAGGTACAAACACCGCCCGAGGAAACATTGTCTATTCATAGTTATTTAATCATCCATCACTTGCAAAGCCAACATAGTACACGTCGTGTAACATTTACAATACTGTTATAGGTCAAAATACTAAACAAATCAGAAAAGAGTATGATACGTTCAGTAAGGCAGCTTCGCCATCGTCACAATCATCATCATCGACCAGAGTTAATCCACTACCGGATGCAGAAGGCCTCCGCTAGCGGCCGCTACCTCTCGCACTCCTGCAATGAGCGATCCCAACACGGCTTGCAAAACACAAGGCTTGGAAAGAGATCTTAATATTTCAAGTGAGATACTTTTTATAATTTCCTTTTAGTCATTCCATTCAGTGACTCTATATCTGCATTGCAGCTTTAAAATGAAATAAACATATTCTTGTAAAATAAAATTTAAAAAAGCAAATTATATATCCCATTTCAAATAATTCTAGAGGTGGCCAGGTGGCTCAGTGGTCAAAGTGTTAAGCAGCAGTGCAGAGTTGATACTTTCAGCCCAGTATTGCAATGCATATATATTTCGATATACACCTAATTTGACACGTTGCAGCCCTGGCAATTAAAGATATCGCCATAACTTGCCGTGCAATTAACGGTACTGTCAGGGGTCGCTCTACGGCATCCGCTTCCACGGGCCATCCTCTGGCACGAGAGCTCGCGCTGCTGTGCGAGAGCTCCGCAAGGGGTCCTTGTCTCGTCACGCGACGCCGACAGCACCAATAACGTTGGGGGTTGTGGGAAAAAAACAAAAGTAATCTTCATTTGCCGACCGTCACCGCTCTGCCCAGGACGACGCGCTGCTGGCGGAGAGCGGCCGCGTCTCGTTTGCGTACGACGCGGCCGCGTGCTCGCTGGTGCTGCGCGACGTGACGGAGAGCGACCGCGGCGTGTACGCGTGCGTCGCCAGGAACGTGGCCGGGGAGCAGACCTGCAAGGCCGAGCTCTCCGTCCCCAAGGGTGCGACCATTTCCCCCCCGCGGCAACAAACGCCGCGCTCCTTTTAGCGCATCCCCAAAAAGCAAATTGCAGAGAGAATGTGTTTAAAACACACGGACGCACAGAAATGTGTGCAAAAGCCTTTGTGCGTTACGTGCGCTATTTTTTTACACGATTGTGCGTGCTTTTTGAAACTCGTGGTTTTCTGGCCTACACTATTGTTCCGCTACGGTGGGGGTTCTCGTCAGTTAAAGAATCGATTGGGAAAATGAGTGTGTGGGAAATGACCATCGTACTGATCTCTCAAATGTTCCTGATCCTCTGTTGCGATGTCGGTAGCCAAGGGCGAGATGGTGGCGGACGAGCAGGAGCTCATGAGGAAGATCAGAAATCTTACGGATTACTACGTCGTCAGGGAGGAGATCGGCAGGTCAACTCTTTTCATCTTTACGCACACATTATTATTCTTATTGTCGTTATTGTTATTCACTCTTGAATTTAAACGTTCACCAGAACATAGATCATTGACACTGCGGAGGTCAAATGAAATCTGATAACGGTGGTGGCCTCGCACAGGGAGACCTGGCTCTGATCGAACTCGGGACATTTTTTGTGGCAAAAAGAAGGTTATGAACCCACGCAATTCCACCACCGCCATCTCAACCGCAACCACCCTAACCACCGTCATCGCCTCCACTGCCACCTCCTCCTCGACCCGGCAGGGGCTCATTTGCGGTGGTGAAGCTCGTGGTGGAGAGGGGCACGGGGAATCCCTACGCCGCCAAGTTCCTGTCGTGCCACGACAGGAAGCAGGCTGACGCGGAGCGCGAGCTGCACGTGCTCTCCCTGCTCGACCACGATCGCGTCACGCGACTCCACGACGCCTTCCAGACCGACCGCAAGCTCGTTCTCATCACCGAGCTGTATCCACGCTTCCGTCGTGCGCCGCCCTCGCTTGGGCCCAGCGGTGAACACGAAAGCATCGATGGATCGTAAAGATTTGGGAGAGAGTCAGTGGGCGACACGATGTGTGCCATTTTCGTCTTAATATTTTGCCCCTAATATGTAAAAAAAAAATCGAATGTGATTTTTCCTAAATATGTCAAAAAATATATAAAACGTGATTTTTCCTGCTCAAATGAGCATTGAGGCATTGGTGCTCATCTCCCGTTCACACCTCTGAGCCAGTGGAGGAGATTCCACGTTCCCATGGCGTGAGCGAGTCTATCGATATGACAACCACCGTTGATCCAACCAGCAACTAGGATTGGAACTCGCGGCCGTCCGTTTGCAAGCCGCTCGCTCTCGCCGCTGAACCACCTGGCCGGCCTTGATACGAGCATCCTAATCGGGTTGATCAGATGAGTAAACGACTCGGTTGCTTGGCCTGCGCCCCTCGTGTTTCCACGCGTACTCCGCCGCATAGTGGCAGTGGCGGTGGTGGCGGCGGCAGTGCCGGGTAGCCGTGAGCCCAAGCACGTGTGGAACGATGCGGCTCGTACCTCGGTTGATGTTTTACCCTTGACGACAGCGATTGAGCTGCTCCAACGAAGAGCTGCTGGATCATCTGGTGAAAAAGACGGCGTTCACCGAGCTGGAGGTACAGCACCATCAGCCACGAGGCCTCCACCCTGGCCAACTCCCTCCCCACGCAACTCTGCCCAGTCTCCTCGCTCTCTCTCTGCTTTAATGTCTCTCTGCAGCCCCATGCCTTCGCGCCTCCTTCATTGCTTCTTTTTCCTCCTTGTCTTGCTCACTTTCTCCCCATTTCCTTTGTATCTCTACGCTCGGAGACATCTGTTACGCGATGGGCGCATTACCCATGCGAGTTGTTGTTGGCTAATCACTGTTGTCCAGTGCAGTTCACGTGGGGTCGATGGGAGCGAGTTGTGGCTGCTCTGTGCTCTCATTCCGCACCGTACGTAGCCAACCGCACCTCCGATTAGCACGGTTGGCTACGTACGGTGCGAAAGAAGTTCGACATACGTGCAACACACATTCCCAAGCGATTTACTCGGAGCCTGTGCTCGCTTTGGCAGGTTCAGCCGTACATTTGGCAGCTGCTGGAAGGCCTTGACTACCTCCATCGGTCCCGCGTCCTCCACCTCGACATCAAGGTCAGCGCAGCTCACGTGCGGTCACCGCTCGGTGAGGGTAGAGGTCGGGGCAGGCGCTGTGCTGGACGCAAGGGGGTCCTTGGCCACCCACTTGCGACCGGGCGGCCTCACCGGCTGTCACCCTCCACAGGCCTCGCATCACCACGACCGCCTCAATGCACCGCCGTAGTTGTCGTTGCTGTTGTTGGACTCGATTTATACGCTCCCACCTCTGTGCCCCCCGCACCTTAACCAACCTGCGCCGATCGACGTGGCGACCATTTCGTCCAAAAGCTCCAAACGCCACAGTGCTGGGAGGCCCCCCATCCGTCAGCGGGTTCACAGAGGGGCCGCACATGCGGGTCGCGGGCGTGCGCGTCGCGCCTCACGACGATTGGCGGCACGTTTTGTTTCCCTCTCTTGCCGACAGCCGGCGAACGTGCTGATGGTTCACTCGGACGGCGACGACATCAAGATCTGCGACTTTGGCTTCGCGCAGGAGCTAAGGGAGGGCGAGGCCCAGCGCTGCCAGTACGGGACGCCCGAGTTCGTCGCGCCCGAGGTGGCGCGCCAGCAGCCCGTCTCCACGGCGACCGACATCTGGTGGGCGCCGATGTTACCCACTAGTCGTCATGGCGAAAAAGTGCCGGGCGAACTAAAATAATACGAACAATGATGTGTATTTATTTACTTATTTACAAAGTTTGCATAATCGTGAGAAGTGATGGCGGCAGTTTGGAGAGGCCTTCATCCGGCGGTGGATTGATCATGGCTGATGATTTACACATTCAATTGCTGTGATGTTAAACATTTTCAATGGAGTGATGCGTGTATTTTCAAGTAAGTTGAGTTGATTGCTAGGGTTTTAAAACGGTACAGGGATTGGTCTGCCTGTTCTTGTAAGTGCCAGAATCATTTTTTTCTATTGGGTTATTTTGCAAAGCTTCTGAACATAACCGACTGTACACGCGTATATTTTGCAGGCCTGTTGGAGTGATAACCTATGTCTGGTAAGTGGCCCTCGTGCAGTTACTTCGCGTCGAGTGAACGTGTGAGAGGCGACTCGCCCTGCCTACCGCACACTCACCACGGGGGTGGCCACATTTGACCATTTGTTGTGTTCTCTACCTCATTTGCACGAGCGCGCTGCGTAATATCAGATCGTTTGCATGATACATAACCGATCCATTCTCCCGCGAGATCCGACGCGCGTAACCCTGCACGCGGGAATCGGTTTTGATCCCTGAGGCGGCATCTCGGTTACCGGAGCTCAGCGTCGGCCTTCACGGCGTCGACGGTGCGACCGTCGCCGCACCGTTGACGCGTCCGTCTCGTGCGTTGCGACCGCCGTGCGCGCGTGCAGCCTGACGGGCGCCTCGCCGTTCGTGGGCGACAGCGACCGGGCGACGCTGCTGAACGTGCGGGACGGTCGGATCAGCACGGAGCGCCCGCTCGAAGGGCTCTCCCCGCTCGCTGCCGACTTCGTCGCACGCCTCATGACCATCAACCCCAGGTCTCGAGGGGTTGTTGTTGTTGTTGTTTCTCGAGGGGTTGTTGTTTCTCGAGGGGTTGTTGTTGTTGTTTCTCGTGGGGTTGTTGTTGTTCTTTCTAGAGGGGTTGTTGTCGTTGTTGTTTCTCGAGGAGTTGTTGTTCTTTCTGGAGGAGTTGTTGTTTTGTTTCTCGAGTGGTTGTTGTTATTCTTTCTGGAGGGGTTGTTGTTCTTTCTGGAGGGGTTGTTGTTCTTTCTGGAGGGGTTGTTGTTGTTTCTCGAGTGGTTGTTGTTGTTCTTTCTGGAGGGGTTGTCATTATTGTTTCCCGGGTGGTTGTTGTTTCTGGGAGGGGTTGTTGTTGCTTTCTGGAGGGCTTGTTTCCTCACGCTTGCCGAGCACGGGGCCCAAAATCCCAGAATTCGAAACGGCATCAAGGATATAAAGGTGGCCCAGCGGCAGCGGGTTCACCCGCTTAGTCCACGGTTCGAATCCCGCGACCGCCCTGGTTATTTCATGCGGTTTGCACTCGCCGTAAAAAAAATACGACGCGCCATCCGCTTGACAGTCTGTGATCACATTCTCATGGGTCGGCCATTGTGTGCTGGCGACGTGGTCCAAATTAGAAAAATGACCCGCACGTTACACGAGACTCGGTGAGGCTTTCCTGCAGGGTAAAGCATGAAGAATGTTCCCATGCAGTCACTCCAGACACTTGTTTCTCTGTTATGTTTATCATTTATCGTCGTACCGGTGGGAGATTTAATTATAACAATATGTTGTCTTCTTGCACAGTGACAGGCCATCCGCTTCCGATTGCCAAAAACATCCGTGGTTCAAGGTGCGTGCTGTTTAACGACCCGTGATACAGCCATTTTCTTTTACGTCCCACATGACCGAAGCTTCAATCAATTAACAATTGTCACTTTTATTTACACTTTCTATACAAATGCCACGAGTCCTTCATCACACAAAGATCAGAACTAATTTCTTTAGAACAGCTTTTTGTGTTTAGTTGTTGTCCTTCCCAGCATGTCCTATTCGCACAGTTGGCTACGTAGGGTACGAAAGAAATTGAACACACATAGATACAAACAGGCCGCTGTAATATCAGTAGCTGTAGCTAGACGCGTTACATCGTTGTACACGGCCCGAACTGTTCCCTATAGCCAAACTGTTCTCTGCTCTTCAGTGACTGTCGTCGTAAATCTGCGCAGGCTGCCATCTCACCCCAGACCGGGCTGGTGAACATTGGCACGGACAGGCTCAAGTACTTCCTCAACCGCAGGAAGTGGCAGGCAAGTGGCAGTGGGTGGTAAAAGGCAGCAGGCTTTACCCTCTGCTCGTACGCCTGGCACGGGGTGCAGAGTTGGAACGGGTCGTGACCTTTCCAGGCTCGTTTTTTTTTGCCTGCTCCAGCAAATGGCTCCTCTGTCTGAACCTGGTGATTTGTGCCCTGGTAAAAATGTTTTCAGGTTTCGAAGTGATTACACGATCGGGAATATTAAAGCATTGTAGAATAATAGTCACGTGATTGAATTAATTTCACGTATGTTGGTGCAGAGGGTTGGAAGTGTGTTACAATGGTTTCAAGCACAGCACTATGGCCCTGGCCACTCGAGTTTTTCAGTCAAAACGTCAGTGGTCAAGTTACATGGGAACCCATCTTGGCCTGACACAGTGTGGGCAGGCCTGCATCCAGCAGTGGATTGACAGTGTCAAACAATTATTATTATGATATGAACTGAAAAAGCTATTTCTTTACTTGTTCACACTAAAATTTTGATTTAAAGCTTTCGTGACTGCAGGGATTCATATTCTTGGTTCTTTCGGTAAAGTCACGTAGGGGGAGGAGGCGATGATTGCTTTGTAGATTCTAATTGAGTAATTTACGAATCCATCTTCTTTGGTTCTTTCGGTAAAGTCACGTAGAATGAGAATAAAATTATAAATTAATAAAATAAAAGAACACAATAAAATTCTCACGACGTTTTGGCCACAACACAAGTGGCCTTCATCAGGTGAAGGGACGAGACTGTCTGGAGGACAGCGCTGGAGCGAACATAGCCAAGCTCAGACCGCGACCTTTAAGCTGTGTGAGAAGAAACAGAGCGCCTTGACAAAGGAATTAGCATAAAAAAATTGCATTTAATTGGCGGACTTAGCATGATGAACGGTGTAGAGGGGGTGAACATGTGCAGACCGGCGAGGGGGGAGGGGGAGGGGGAGTTTACATATTGATGGTGTGAAAAGGGAATTTGAGCTGCTGCGAAAGTTTGGGATACCACTACTTGAAAAAATATACTATACCATTGAAAATTAGTTTAATGTTTGGTTCAGATAATTTAGCATTGAAATAGCTGCTTGATTAGCTTGTGACTGGTCACAGAAATGCCTATGTTAAAGTCAAAGCCTACACATCCACAGAGGCACCTAGTACAAATCAAACAGGAGAATTTAGCATTGAAATAACTGAGGGATTAGCTTGTGACTGGTCATAGAAATAGCTATGTTAAAGTCAAAGCCTACACATCCACAGAGGCACCTAGTACAAATCAAACAGGATAATTTAGCATTGAAATAGCTGAGTGATTAGCTTGTGACTGGTCACAGAAATGGCTATGTTAAAGTCAAAGCCTACACACCCACAGAGGCACCTAGTACATGGACGCCAAAGGGGCTGCAACCACTCGACTATCATATAGTAAACCGATGTGAAAAAACCTAAGTCTAAATTACATCAATATAATAAATGTACTCAATATATTCTTCAATAAGCTGAGCTATTAACAGTAACTGTATACCCAGTTACTGTAGCATTGATGGTGTGAAAAGGGAATTTGAGCTGTTTGATTTATACTAGGTGCCTCTGTGGATATGTAGGCTTTGACTTTAACATAGCCATTTCTGTGACCAGGTACAAGCTAATAACTCAGCTATTTCAATGCTAAATTCTCTTGTTTGATTTGTACTAGGTGCCTCTGTGGATGTGTAGGCTTTGACTTTAACATAGCTATTTCTATGACCAGTCACAAGCTAATCCCTCAGTTATTTCAATGCTAAATTCTCCTGTTTGATTTGTACTAGGTGCCTCTCTGGATGTGTAGGCTTTGACTTTAACATAGCCATTTCTGTGACCAGTCACAAGCTAATCACGCAGTTATTTCAATGCTAAATTATCCGAACCAACCATTAAACTAATTTTCAATGGTACAGTATATTTTTTCAAGTAGTGGTATCCCAAACTTTCGCAGCAGCTCAAATTCCCTTTTCACACCATCAATATGTAAACTCCCCCTCCCCCCCTCGCCGGTCTGCACATGTTCAACCCCTCTACACCGTTCATCATGCTAAGTCCGCCAATTAAATGCTAATTTTTTATGCTAATTCCTTTGTCAAGGCGCTCTGTTTCTTCTCACACAGCTTAAAGGTCGCGGTCTGAGCTTGGCTATGTTCGCTCCAGCGTTGTCCTTCAGACAGTCTCGTCCCTTCACCTGATGAAGGCCACTTGTGTTGTGGCCGAAACGTCGTGAGAATTTTATTGTGTTCTTTTATTAATTTATTAATTTATTCTCATTCTACGTGACTTTACCGAAAGAACCAAAGAAGATGAATCCTTGCAGTCACGAAAGCTTTAAATCGAAATTTACGAATCATTTTTCAAACTTAGCACATTTGGACCCTGACACCAGCAGACAGTGGCCTACTCTCGGGTATTACATCATGGGATCTTTGACGTCCACTGTGAAGCAGACAGCGGCATAGTGTGTTTACGGTTAATGCCACACCGTAGTATTAACCAGGCTGGTCACTGGATTCGAACCATGGACCCTTGCAACAAGTGGCGAATGCGCTCCCCCTGGAAGATGTTATCCCCCTCGTCTGATATACAAAAGGTTGTGGGTTCGACCCCGACCCGGACACCTGCTCTATATTTGGATTTTGCGTGCGTCTCTCCCAGTGCTCGCGTGGATTTTTCTCCAGGTCTTCTGGTTTTTCCCTCCATATTTAGAAATGTGTGTTTAGAGTATTTGGTTGCGAAAGCATGCCCACATGAAAAGCCACTTTTTTGAGTTATCATTTGTGGCCAGGTCGCTTCTGAAAAAGCTATATAGCTCAGTGGGCCTTACCTGGAACAAAAAAAATAGTTTAGTTTTAGTTTAAACACTTCACCGCCATTGTCAATCCTTCGCTAGATCAAGGCCTCCATGCGGGATTTCAGTCATGAGGGTTGTTTGACCATACTTCACCAGGCTGGTTGTTACAAATATAATTTAATTCTGACAACAGAAGCAACGAGTCTGGTTTTGGGAAGCCATCTTGTCCTCCCTGCGTTTCGTCGCTTCACTCGTTCCGGACCGATTACGAAATTGAATCGAAACTCTGTCACATTGCGTAAAATGTCGCGAATGTCTCATAGATTGCGAGCCTAATTAATAATCGTTTCTGTTGTACATACGGAGGGCCTGTACGCCTGTTACTCTACCTTTTTCCTCTCTCTCCCCAGTGTTGTAATAACATTCATTGCAAACCCCAGCGTTGCATTCGAGCTTTATCATGCGTCGCAGCAACCACAGCCGGTGGCGCGTTCCGTTGGAGACGGGGGCCCAGCCGTGCCACTAAACCTCCCTCCTCCCTTTTCCCCCAGAGTGCCCTCATCGCCCACCGAGCCAACATGGTCATGCGCTCCATCCCCCAGCTGCTGGCCGCCACCGTGGGGCAGCAGTCCCTGGGGGTGCCCCGGCACCTCGCCGACCCCTCGCTCGTCTCCTCCACCTCCGACGACTCGGATGAGGCCAACGTTTTTTCCGCCATGTCCGGTTTTGGGGGGGGCTTGAGAAGACCGGAAGCTCCGCTTGCTCCCTCCATGTCAAAGCACGCCGGCGCACCAGTGGCCGCGTGCGCCGCCCCGCAGGAGGTGTGATGAATGCTCGGTCATAGCGCTGCACTGATTTAATAATCGCCGCGTAAAGGTAACGGTAAAAAAATTGTAACAAGCCTGACTAGTGATGAGACCCAGAAAGGTCTAAACCATTCCATATGTCGCTTGCTTAAATGAATGCTGCTAGAAAATATTGGTCTGGAAAACTAATAGGCCGATGAACTAAAGTATTTGCATTTATATGTGGAGACACTGAATGGAGATCTGCTCATACTTGCTATCTTGTAACGATGTGTTCGTCATGTTCCAATGTGCTCTCCTTTGCTTTCTGCTTTCTGTTCGGCTCTCGGAACAAGCGTCAGCAATCGTGGAGAGGAGCTGCTGTGGAGCAGCCGCAAAAGGCAAGAGAGGAGGGCGACAGGGCAATGGAGGTTGAGCCGAAGGCTTCACCAAAGGCCTCTCCGAAGGCTTCTCCCGGGTCTGGGAGGGCGCGGCGCCACAGCAGACGGCGCTCCACAGAGGCCGAGCCGCCGTTGTCCTCGTCGTCTGACGAAGATGCTCTGGACGTCTCTCGGCGAACGGAGTCTCCTAGGCAGCGGCGAAGAAGCAACCTTCGGAGATCGGGTTCGATGGACAGCGAGCTCGGCACTTTGGCCGGCCACGCGGCACAGGGAATCAAGAAGTCCATGTCGATGGAGCTGAGCCGAGGAAGAAGTCGGAGCCCGGGCCAAACGGGAGGAATCCACGACGACCCGGCGCGCAGGAGACTGGGAGCGATGGCCCCTGTCGCAGCCGCCGAAGATTTCTCCCAGCGGCTCGAAGTGATCCGTCAGAGGCTGCTGGGTGGCGACCCGATCGAAAGCAAGCTCATTGAGTTGCGTGATCCCCGACAGGTGCACCCCGATGCCATTTCCAGACCTTGGAGTGACAAAATCCGAACCTCGTCCCTGCCACCGAGGCCAGACAGGACCAGCGAGTTGGCCCAGAGAAAGCAGGCACCTGAACCAACGGAGATGGCTGAAATGGGGAAAATGCAAAGGAACGTTCCATTTGCCAAATTGGCGGAGGCCCCGCCAGCGACAACCTTTGGTGTTTTACAGCCGCCCACCAGGAGTGCGGCAGAACCGTCGCAAGCGCACGCTCCGATATCATCACAAATCCGCAAATCGCCCACGCTGCCTTCAAAAGCGCAGGTCCCCGTCATCGGTCAGCTTAAACAGATCCCTCCACACATCGCATCGGCGAAAGCTCAGAGATTCCCGGTGTCACCTGTGCAGCAGCAAGGTCCTTTCTCTGCCCAAGGTGGAATGCAAAGGCATTCGTCCACTGAAGGAATGAGGTCGTTGCCATTGGGAACCGAACCTCCGCGCTTTGCTCGATTCTCAACCAGAAACAGAACCCCCTCGGCGCCGACGCTGAGGGGTGAGAGGGCCGCACTGGGGCAATATTCAGTGTCTGGCGATAAGATAAACGAGATCAAAAACATCACTTCCGAAGCCATATTTGAGGCCAAGTTTAAAAAGAAGCACGAGTCGTCCATACACCGAGTGTTCCCGTTTCTAAACAAGGCAAGGTCCGAAGAGCAGGTGCTGAGGCCGGCATGGGCCGACGAGGAGGAGGTGTACAGGCCGACGCAAGTCAACGCTCCCGTACTCATAGCCGTCGATCCTCACGGGGCGGTAATGAAAAAGGTGAAGGATGAGCTGGAGACCACGGCAGAAAAGTCAGAACCTGAATCAACGGAACCCCCTCAAAAGCAGGACAGGGACAAGGGCATCATTCGCAGACTGTCGCAGAAGCTCAAACGACCATCCTCCTTGGACAAAGTGTCTCAACTTGTAGACGAAGGTGAGAAAGAACAGGGCAATGGAAAGGACGATGGGGATGAAAAACAGAGGGTGGGAGGTGTTTCAAAAATGTTTTCGATTGCGCGGTGGCAGAGCAGCTCCAAAGAAAACGTAACGGGGGACCCTGCCGCCAACCTGAGAGCTGCCGCGGCCGAGCACAGAGCCGGCGAGGAGAGGACGAGGGCCGATTTCGATGCCCAAAAGAAGAAATCTGCGCAAGAGCTTCCAGGAGCAAAGATGCCCACAGACGTTGTCCGGGATCAGCTTGCCCCCGAAAAGCCCAAGCGATCGTTTGCAACGGCGATGACATTTTCCGAAATAGAGACAAGAGCGGGACTTGGGCCATCGGCCGCCCGCACGGTAAAGCAAAGCCACCCCGCTTCTGGATATGTTCTGCAAAACGTTGACATGGAGATAAAGCCCAAGCAGGCGGAGCAGATCCCCGATCTTCCTCCACATTTTAAACAGAAGCATTCCGAACAAACGCAACCATGGCTCGGTGAGCGCTCAGAAATAGAGGACAAGTCGGGTAGCCCTTCCAAAATGTTTTCTGTGACAATGGTGCCTGAGGGCCTACGTGAGAAGCCCGGTCACGCAGTTGGCATTGCGGGCGATGCCATTTCAGAGAAGAAATTAGATTCTCAAGAGCATCCAGAAGTGTCTGCCAGTAAACAAACTTCCATTGCACAAATCCCATCAAACAAAACAGAGAAATCCAGTAAGGATGCAGAAATGGTGATAGAGCTGGGAGTGGAAGGTGACTTAAAGGAAGAAAATAAATCAAGCGGCATAGCCAAGAAACTCTCTGATGCTTTGAAGAAGACCGGGCTCACAGAGCTCGGCCGAGGGAAAGGGAAAAAAGAAATGTCAGAAGAGCAGTTGCAGCAGATTTCGGAGAAAGATTCCAAACAGAAGCACGCTGCTCCCAAAAAAACTGGCAAGGAGCCCGACAGCTCAGAAGTTTATCGGGAGAGGTCAACAAAAATGTCTGCCGAGGCCCTGCAGGAGCAACAGCCGCCTGAAAGAAAGGGATCCGTTTCTGCGGAGAAGACGACCGCTGATGAAGGCAAGAAGGACGATGGAGATAAACGTAAGTCCGGCGGTATTCTCAAGCGGCTTTCCATAGCATTGAAGCCGGATAGCCTCAGAGACGACGGTCACGGAAAAGGAAAGGAAGTGAAGCCGAACGATGAGCTGGTCTTTCAGGAGACCAAGCAGAGTCAGTCTTCTGCTGCGAAATTACCAGGAGATTCGAAGAAATACGCGCGCAATGACGGGAGCACTTCTGAGGGAAAGCCAGCACGAGAGGCCTCGCTGGGATCCGAGTCGGAGGATCACGGCAAGGAAAAGAAGTCTGGTGGCATCATGAAAAGACTCTCTGTCAAACTGAAGAAAGACACTGCCAAGGAAGTCGCTGGAAGTCAAGCAAAGGAGTCAGCCCAATCTCTAGAGTTAAAGCCCAGCCACCCTCTAGGCCATGGGCACGCTCACTCAACCCCAACCTACGTTCAGGAACAGCAGCCAAGCAGATTTGAGTATAGATTAGTAGCAGAGGCCATAGAAGATGCTCTGGAGCAGAAGGAGGCTCAGAAAGCACAAGAATCGGCATCTGCTGACCAGGCGTTGGCGGAAGATGGTAGGAAGAGTGAGGAAAAGGATAAGAAGGCCCCGGGCGGCCTAGCCAAACTATTCTCCGTCAAACTGAAGTCCGACAGTCACAAAGAGGACGGCCATGAAAGAGAACAGGAGAGGAAGCAACATTTTGAACCTTCAGCTCGCGAAGCCGCTGCAAAAATATCGCCAGATACAAAAGAATATTTGCACAGCCATAAGAGTACTCCTCAAGGAAAAGGGCATTCTGAGCCTTCAGCAGTATTAGAGTCGGAAAGCCATGGCAAGGACAAGAAGGAACCTGGCAGCATCCTACAGAGATTCACGCTCAGCCTTAAGAAAGATGCTCCCAACGAAGGGGTCCAAGAACAAGAATGTGAAGAGAAAATAGAAGCCCCTTCTCAAGAGTTAACACCGAGCCGACCCTCAGCGCAGCATCATCCGAAAACCGCCAAGTCGCACGACGCGCCTAAAGGCTCGGGAAAATCTGAGCAAAAAAACAAACATGAGCCGTCAGAGGAACCAGGGTCCACAGAATCTCCTCAAGAACAGAAACTGCTTCACAAAGGAAAACAGTTGACTGCTGCTGAAAGAACACTTGCTGAAGATAATAAGAGGAGAGAAGACATTGATAAGATGCCCAGCAGTTTAGCCAGACTCTTTTCTGTCACGCTGAAGCCAGATGGTCCTGAAGAGGACCATCACGGGCAAAGAAGGGAAGAAAAGCCGCAGGATGAACTGATCTGTCACAGGGCAGCTCATGAGACCGACACCAAAATGGCAGCAGATTTGAAGGGGCGCATGCACGGTGATACGAGCGCTTCGGAACAAAGCCCAGTGCACGAGACCTCGCTGGGCTCAGAGTCTATGGGGTCGGAAGAACAGAAATCAAGTGGCAGCGGTGGCGGCATCATAAAAAAATTATCTGTCATGTTGAAGAAAGACAGTCCCAAAGACCTGGCTCAGCGTCAATCAAGGGAGGTGAAACCAGATGCTGAGACTGCCCAACCCCTGGGGTTAAAGCCGAGCCACCCTCTAGGCCACGGGCACGCTCACTCAACCCCAACCTATGTTCAGGAACAGCAGCCAAGCAGATTTGAGTACAGATTAGTAGCAGAGGCCATAGAAGATGCTCTGGAGCAGAAGGAGGCTCAGAAGGCGCAAGAATCGGCATCTGCTGACCAGGCGCTTGTGGAAGACGGCAGGAGTGAGGAAAAGGAAAAGAAGGCGCCGGGTGGCCTAGCAAAACTATTCTCCGTCAAACTAAAATCCGACAGTCACAAGGAGGACGGCCATGAAAGAGAAAAAGAGGGGAAGCCAGAGAAACCGGTGCCTCCATCAAAGTCAGAACATGAAAAACATCTAGCTCATGCTGCTTGCGCTGCCACGATCGTGATATTTGACGCAAAACAAAGTGCACCCGAGACTACGGACGCCAGTGATAGAAAACCAGCAGCCGATTCCTCGGTGGGATCTGAGCTCACAGATTGTGATGATCATGGCAAGGAGAAGATATCCACCAGCATCATCAAAATGTTTTCTGTCACTCTGAAAAAGGACAGTCCCAAAGAGGAAGATCGAACGGACAGCGCCGTGGAACCTAGGCAAGAAGAGGCTGAATCGACGACCCCTTCAATTACCGGAGAAAAAGAGGCTCAAGGGACCCGTGATGAAAAATGTAAACTAAAATTCCCATCAGGATCGAGGGATGCAGGAGGAGCCGTGGAAACACAGCAGCTGCCTCACAAAGAAAAGAAACTGGATGTTGCAGAAGTGATGTTGGCGGAAGAAGGAAAGACAGCTGAAGTTATGGACGAAAAGAAGCCAAGCAGCATAGTGCAAAAAATTGCTGTAAAATTAAAGTTGGACCGTCCACAGCAGGACATCCACGAACAAGTAGAGGGAGAAAAGGCACGCGATGAATCGGACAATCAGCAGGCGATGAAATCGAGACAACCTTCTCATGGAGTATCCGCAGAATCCCCATCGGTAACGAAAGCAATCATCGTGAAGGATTCGGATAAAGTCGATGATAACGCAATGCGTGAACCATCGCTGGCATCCGACTCCCCTAGCACTGAGGGGCAGTGCAAGGAGAAAAATAAATCCAGCGGCATTATGAACATTTTTTCTCTCTCGGTGAACAAGGAGAGGCCTAAAGAGATCAGCGGAGAGAAGGAGATGGAAAGTAAACCGCACGAGGAATCTGTCACCACTCACAACGTAACGCAAGGCCCGAGACGATTGGAAATATTGGGAACGCCTCAGGAAAAATCGAAAATCGAGCCCCAGGCCTCAGGTGGGACGACCGAGCATCAGATTCCTCACACAGAATTAAAGACAGAGGAGGTCAAAGAAAAGAAGAAGCCAATTAGCCTGACCAAGCGCCTCTCAGCTGTTTTGAAACCGGACAGCCACGTAGAGGACAGGCATGGCAAAAGAAAAGACGAGGAGCCACGGGGCGAGCCAGTATCTCAGGAGCCCGTGAAAGGTGGTCAACCTTCACCTCATGCGACTGCCACAAAAATTCCAGTGGATCGAAGCGAACTTGTGGCGGGAGACGCGTTTGCACGTGAGCCTGTGCCGAACGTGGATTGGCAAGAGTTGAAGGGTCATAGTAAGGAGAAAAAGCACAGCAGTAGCATCATCGACCGGATCTCTGGAAAATTTAAAAAGGACAACCTGAAAGAGAAGATAACGCATGGAGAAGAAGAGAAGGCCAGTGAAAGTGATATGGAGCATGCTATAATTTCAGAGTCAAAGCAAAGCCATCCAGTTGAACACGTCAGTAAGCTGGAGGAGAAGGGAATGCTCGAACCGATAGAAACATTCCAATCGGCAACCGCTGTCCTGGATCACGATGTTGGGAAAAACAAGCCATTGACCATTGCTGAGAGATTTTCGATCCCGTCGAAGGTCGGTTCAAGAGAGAGAGCCGGTCAGGAACAACAAAGTGACGAAAAAGCGAAATTAGAAACTCCCCTTTCTCAGGAGTTAAAGACTCATTCATCTTGCGAGGCTACGGTGGACATTCCAGATGCTTTTTGTAAAACCCAAGAAGATATGAAGACCTCTGAGAATGCATCAAGCGCGGAGCCGTCGATCTCCTCAGACTCTCCAAAGTCATGGCAAGGAAACCAAGAAATCCAGCAGCATCGTCAAGAGACTGTCCGACGCCCTAAAGAAGGACCCCTCAAAGGGGGTCAGTTCTGAAAGAGTGAGAGGAGACAAAGAAGATGACAGTGATCTTTCCGAGCGAGAGGTCCACCCCACAATCTCAAGACGTGAGAGATAAAGCACGGGAATTACCAACATCTGAGCGAGCAGAAGCCGAAGAGTCTGAGAGTCCTGTCAAGGAGAAAAAGAAGTCAAGCAACCTCATCAGACGGCTGTCTTCCAGGTTAAAAAAGGACAAGCGAGCACACGAAAACAGTGCATTGTCCGATGATGATCACAAAGATGAGAAAATTTTATTATCGAAGCAAGCCCCGGCTGGATCAGAAAACCACGAGGCAGTGCAGTTGCAGCCTTCGGCGGGAAATGTCGACGGGGACCACTCGTTGCCGTCACGACGACTCCTTACGGGAGATTCGAGGCCATCTGAAAAAACGTCACCGCAGGTGTCAGCATCTTCAGAGGCTGCTGCGCAAACACAGGATTTGCCTCAGAAAGGTGGACGGTCGGACGCTGTTGACAAGATGAGCGCTGCAGAGGTTGGGAAGCGTGAAGAAAAGGAGAAAATGAAGCCAGACAGTCTAACCAAGAGGCTTTCGATTGCACTGAAAAGAGACAGTCCCAGAGATGTGAGTGTTGAGAAAGAAAGAGGAGAAAAGGGCGGTGCTGAGCAGGGTCAGGTTCAAAGGTCAACTTCAAATGAATTATCATCCCAGGAGTTGACCCCACAAATCACAGTGGACGTCGAGGAAACACTGAAGGGTGTGGTCATGTCAGAAGATCAATCGTCCAATGAGCAGCCTCCAGCTGTTTCAGAGTCAGAGAGTCCTGGGAAGGAGAAAAATAAGTCGCGCAACATTGTAAAGAGATTCTCGGCCAAATTCAAGAGAGATGGCGCCAAAGACAAGGCCAGTTTTGCAAAAGAACAAGATGAAAGGTTGGATGAAACTGACCTTTCAGAAATGGGTAGAGATAAAGCACTGGAAGAAAACAAGCCGTTCCTCGAGAATGTAACTGAAAAAACCATCACATCCCAAGAAAAACTTGAACAGGACATTTCCATAGCCTTTGTATCCTCAGAGCCAATACAGGAGCAGCATCTGCCTCTCATCGAGAAAGGATTTGCATCCGCCGAAAAGGACTTGGCTCAATGTCTGCAGCAAGGAATAGAGTCTGGCGGTGTAGTTGAGAGCCCTGTTGTGTCCACGGAGGATGGGTCTGAACTGGTCGGTCAGGCACAAGGAAAGGAAAGCGCAGGAAGTGAAGTTGAGAGTAAAGGGCAGGCCCTGTTCCAGGAGATCGAACCACGGGCACCCTCATCCACTTTCGTTGCTGCAGAGTCGTCTTCCACAGTTATACAGCGGCATGAAGGGGAAGCTCATGAACGCGATCGTGATAAAGCCGTCTCGCCGCCGGGGTTGAGAGCAGAACAACTGTCGACACACGAACCTGTCGTGGCAGATCTGAAAGATGACATTAAAATGAGCGCCGAATCAAGTGCTAAAATATTCACTCCTGAGCCAGCGCAGGAATCGCAATCCACAGACACAGAGGGATACCTGAAAGAGAAACATAAACCAACCACCCTTGTTAAAAGACTCTCTCAGGTAATTAAGAAAGACAAAGATGTAAATCTAGAGATAGAAGGGAAAATGGGTTGATACAGGAGAATCTCAGAAGTCTCTCTTAATAAGGAAAAATCCAGAGGGACTTCTCTGTCAAACATCGCCACAAATCTGCCTGCAGCTCAGAAAGGCAGTATGGGTGACCTTGAAAGAAAATCATCACAAGGGACCTCAGCATCATCTGCTGCAACAGCAGATGATGCTGGGCCGGCTCACGACAAGAAAACTCAAAGCCAGAGTGTCGATCAGAAACTGCCGAGGTCAGTGTCTGTGGATCAGATACGGAAGGATAAGAAGGCGGAGGATAAGGAGAAAAAGAAATCGAGTCTAATGAAGCGACTGTCGTTCCACATGCGTGCGGGCACTTCAAAGGAGAAATTACTGTCATCCGACACGAAGAAACAAAAGTCTATCGAAGGCGTCGATGCTACACCTGATGAAAAATCTTCACGAAAATCCTCAATGACATCACTCTCATCGCTCACCAAGGGCCACGACAAGGATTCAAGTTTAGTCCGAAAATTATCCCTCAAGCTTAAGCGGCCACTCTCGGTGGAAAAGCTGGCCAGTGCCGACAAGGAGGGCGACGACAAGAGGAAGTCCGGCGGTCTGGGCCATAAAATTTCCCTTGCGCTAAAGAAGGGCAGTTCAAAAGAAAAATTAAGCCATGAGAAAGACGAGACCATAAAACACGATCATTCCTCCCCAGGTAAATCTCTTCGAAAGAAAATCGGGACAACCATGTCCGGCTTTTCGATGAAGCTCACTCGCAGCCGCTCGGTAGAGAAGCTTGCGAACAGACGGACGTCGATGCCAACGCCAAGCTTCTCACCTTACCCTCGGAAGCGGCGGGCAAACGGGGAGATGCCACGGAAAAGGAGCAAACTAGCCAGGGCGTGATCAAGCGCTCAAACTCTGAATTTTACCTGCCACAAACACCAAAAGATGCCAGAGATGCAGCCTCAATGTCGCCAGATGGGCGTAGTGTATCTTCTTCGGAGAATAAGGAACAGCCCTCAGAAGGTAGAGTGCCACAACACGGTGGTTTTACTTGTGGGTTGTTCTCATGCGAGTGATACTTCATGGCAATGATCGGCTGTCTTCTTGTGTTTTTTTCCTGCGTAACAGTTTCCTCCGCCGTCGTTTCAAACGAAGCTGATAGACGAGCTCATCGTGGACGGACAGCCCATGACCCTGTACTGCCGTCCCGTCGGGAACCCTTCGCCTGACGTCAATGGTTTAAAGGTACACCGAGCAACCGGCACGACTGACAACCCAAGTGGTAGAACCGTATAAAGCGCTCGGCAACAGGCAGCGCGTGCGACGCGTTCGCTCTGGTGTAACGGTTCAAAAACTGGGGAGCGGCGTCACTGTGGTGAGCGCACTGCGCTATGAACCCGGCCATCGGAGTTTGATTACCAGCCACGGCCAAACATCAGTGGCACGTAATATCTGAACCGGTCCGGCGCTGTTCCTTTACCAACACGCACTTACGACCGGCGTGGTGAAGTATTGTCAAAGAAACCCCCACGATTGACACAGAATGGGGGGGGGGGGGGGGGGGCTTTCATTCGGGCGTGGGTTTTGAACAAAAAACTGTTATATTATCTAATTATAGAATGTGTAATTTGCTTGTCGTCTGCCTGCCAATTGCAGACAAGAAGCTGCTCGGCTCTGAGAGCAGGGCGAAGGTGACGGTGTCGAGGGAGGGGCAGCACATCCTGTCTGTGGTGAAGGCGGGGAAGAAGGACACGGGGGTGTACGAGTGCAGTGCCACCAACCACCTGGGCTCTGCTGCCACCTCCTGCAAAATTAAGCTTGCACGTATGTCTCACAATAACAACAACAACGCCTTCTCCAGTGCTATTTTACATTGCCATTGTGCTTTGTTGGTTAGAAACAGATTTTTTGTGAAATTCCAAAAGCAAAAAAAAAAATTTCTCAGGCAAGAGCGACGCGCACGACGACCGCGCTTTCCAGTTTGACTTCAGGTACGCCATTGTGGCAGGTAACAAACAAAAAAACGACATGGAATTTTACGTATATGTATTTTAAAGATTCGGCGAGTAAAACAAAAGAAAAAAAAAGCATTGTCCTAACCCACGTTTTTTTTTCCTAGAAATCCCAGGGAGGCCTGGTCACCCAGAAGTTCCAGAGGTGTACAAGGATGGCGCGCTGGTGGTGTGGAAGGCGTCCGAGTTTGAGGGAACTGCCACGTACACGATGGAGACTAAAAAGAGCGGTGCAAATGCCCACCCTGTCCATTTGATTGCAATACGAAGAATCTTGTGGCGGTATTCTTCTCTCTGGCGATCGATATACCATGTATGGAGTGATCTATGACCATTGGAATATAAATGCACGTTTTACAAAACCTCGATCGTGACAAAACTCGAACCCCAACTCGAACCCTCGTAAATTACTGGTAGACCGCCAGCGAGATTAATTCCTCGATTGCTTCTCGAGCAATGTAAAAGTGTCTGTTCTCTCACCCACGCACAATTCGGAAAGTTTAATTCACTGTGGAGGTGGTGTTGGACCCCGCACAGCGACGCACGTGACGCGCCGTTGTTTTCCCGTTGCTCAGGCGAGGGGATTTGGTCGTTGGTCGCGGCCGGGATCAAGGACCCGTACTACAACGTGATGCACCTGGTCCCTGGCGGCATTTACAAGTTCCGCGTGTCGTGCGTGAGCAAGGCCGGACAGAGCGCGCCGAGCCTGTCTTCGGACAAGATCGCCATCCCAGGTCATCTCCTCACAGGACACGAGCCCACGGGTCACACTCCGACCTTAACCCATTGTCCACTGGTAACGCGCACAGGTGTGACAGGTGCACCTACGCGTGCAAAAATCTTTGTCAATCCACTGTTGGATGAGGACCACCCCATGGCCGCGTCGGTTGAGGGGGTTGTTTCATCTTATTTCACCATGGCGAGCGGTGCGGGTTGGTGAAGGATGGCAGAGTACAACATTGCCACTTGCTATGCTACCCTCGGCTGCCCACAATGCCAGCTTGCAGCACGAGCAGCAGCAGCAGCCTAAAACAAAACTCACATGACACCTCGCGTGTTGTTGAAGTCTCACAAGATGGCTTCTCGTGTTTCTCTTGAAGTAGCGGCACCTGAGAAGGTCGTGGACAAGAAGCGGGGAAGCCAATTGAGTCTGGACAAAGGCTCCGCCTCCGGCAAACCGGGTGTGCTGCAGAAACCTTATACCTTCCTGGAGGAGAGGGCCAGGTGAGGGTCTGCAGAGCCAACACATTACCTTCGCAGTGAGGTGCCTGTAGGAAGCCGGTATGGCAAGCAGCCACACGTGCGGCATTTCACGGGACACTCCTGTACTTAAAAACAAAAATCCGAAACAAACAAAAGGAATTTGCCAAACGTCCCAACATGACATATTCCTGACACGGTCCGAATGTAGCAAATCTTAAAACTTACCCACACATTACTGAATTGAAATCTAAACAGCAATCACCCCCACCCACCCCACTGTCAAAATGTTGACAGGAAAAAGAATAACGAATCTCAGTGAGACTTTCCCGGGTAAACAATTGTCACAATAGATAAAATAAAATAACACAATAATATTCTCACGACGTTTCGGCCACAACACAAGCGGCCTTCATCAGGTGAAGGGAGCAAGACTATCTGGTAGGACAGCGCTGTCCTACCAGATAGTCTTGCTCCCTTCACCTGATGAAGGCCGCTTGTGTTGTGGCCGAAACGTCGTGAGAATATTATTGTGTTATTTTATTTTATCAATTTATTATTTTATTCTCATTCTACGTGACTTACCGAAAGAACCAAAGAAGATGAATCATTGCAGTCACGAAAGCTTTAATCGAAATTTAATTGTCACAATAGTTTATTCCCTTGTTATTAAAACAAGGTGATCGAACTTCCCATCCTCTTGTCTAGCCCTGTAACGATTCACTCTCCCGGAAACTCAATGAATTGTCACGATTCAGGGTCGCGCTTTGATTCTGCTCCGTCTCGTCTTTACGTCCCGGTTTATCATCGCTTTTTGGCTTTCGGTGCCATTTGTACTGCAATAGCCCCCCAAAGTAGCACCACCATGGCATTTTCATGTCATAAACAATAATCAGTTTTTATGCACGAATTTCTATGCACACATCGCGAGTGTAAGAACCAGCACTGTGCTTCGTTGCGAAGGGGCCGCTTTGGAGTGATCCGCGAGTGCAAGGAGAACGGCACGGGTCGGGTGTTCACCGCCAAGATCGTGCCGTACGAGGTGAACAGCAAGCCGAGGGTGCTGCGCGAATACGACGTCCTGCGCACGCTGCAGCACCCGGGCGTCATGTCGCTGCACGAGGCCTACGTCACGCCGCGCTACCTGGTGCTCATCACCGAGCGCTGCGGGGGCAAGGAGATTCTGTTCAAGCTCATCGACAGGTTCGTTACAAGTTTACGCGTACGGCCCGACAGATGCGGGAGGGCCTCCCCCACGGCGTGCGGGGTCGTGGGGGTTACTTGACCATAATTCGCCACGCCAGTGAGCGCAAGTTGATGCAAGCAGGGAGCTGGACATGGGAGCTGAGAAATACAGCACAGCGATGACTTGTGGTGCATTGCCGTCTGCTGTTCACAACGTATCCCTACCCAGCGCTCGAATTGAGTGAGATTAAATATTCATCAAAACCACCAAACGTACGACAGAAAATCACGAATCGTGCTGCTTGCTGAGCCACGGCGGTGGATGGCCTTTGATATTCTGATCTTAATCTGTGCTACATTCGCCATTAGCTTGGGCTTGAGGTGTCTGAGACGGCTTGTATGTGATGAGGAGTTGCACCATTCTCAATTTACCTCAGATGCTCCTTTATCTGGACGGTTTGTAAATTGACATTAATATTACATTATTCGCTTGTGTGTGTGGGATTTGTCCATTTGTTTATCTGCACCCATGTGATGCGTTGCAGTTTCATTTTGCTTCCGACTGCTTCAGCATGTGAGTAGACCATCAATGTGTTACCCTCCTCTATTCATTCAGCACCAGATACTCGGAAGAAGAGTTGGTTGGGTACATGATCCAGCTGCTGCAGGCCGTAGACTACCTGCACCGTCGCCTCGTCCTGCACCTGGACATTAAGTCCGAGAACATCCTCATAACTGAGCAAAACCTCGTGAAGCTGGTCGACTTTGGGAGCGCCCACCAGTACAACCCCAGCGACCCCCAGCCAATCGAGAACACCACCGGCGATCTCGAGTACTTAGGTGAGAATCCCTTGGCAAGTGACGCCCGGCGCGATGAAGACTTTTCGCAATTTGACCTGTGCCGACTTTCCGGGGAACTTTTCGAGTTTGACCCCGACAGGGATTTGTGGCCCGTGGGCCTAGACGCCGGCTGACTGCCGCCCGCCCGCACACCCTGCAGGGTGATTGATGTGGGGTGCAATTTGAGTGCTTCCTGTGTGGTTTCAAACAGCCATTTATAAATAAATGGCAGGTCTGGGACAAACGCATTTCATTTGGACTTTGCAAAGGGATCTTGAGGACACATATAAGGTTCCCTGCAGCCTCCAATAATTTACAAGCGCTGCACTGCTGCCTTAATTATAAGTAGGTGAACTGGCATCACTGCTGCAGCTGTTAGATCAAACATCGTAAAACAGATAATCTTTCTTTTTGTATTGTTTGGCTTTTGGAATGGCCATACAACGCTTGTTTGTAACCAACTGAACACGATTTGCAAATGAAATGCGACATTACAGAGCATAATTTATTCCACACTCTCACAAGTGACCAAAGGTCGAGGCAGCGAGGCTTGGACTGATCGCGCGCTCGCGCTTACGTGAGAAATTCTGTGCACAAATGCTGAAGGTAAAGGCTACGTTTAGTTCTAAGGCATACCTTCAAATTTTGCCGTGCCACAAAACAGTTGGGTAAACACAGTCACAGCAGACGAGTGGGGGGTCGCCTTGCAGCTCGCTGTTGTATTCTTGGCGGCACGGCCACGCGTACTGTGGTGCTGGAACGACGCCACCTGCCACTCGTCTGTCTTCGCGCCGAGAGCGGAACGCGCACGTTGCCAATCAGAATAATGGGTTAAATTAGACGGCAGTGGGGCAGACGCGTGTCTCAGCAGCGAAGGCGCCACTGTCGTGCCGCTCGGTACTTTTCCACATCGCGGCGAGGTGAGTTTGCGTGGCTGGGGAAACTCTGCGGCACGTAAACCATTTGAGAGCTTGTTTTATCAGTGTGTAAAAAAAAAAAACTTGCGCAAGGTAAAACATCGTGTGGATTCTTTTATATTTACTTTACCCGTCGCCTTGAATTGATTTGTTTGATTTGTTTCCGCTCCTCACAGCTCCCGAGTTGGTCAAAGGTGACCCAGTGGGACCCACGGCGGACGTGTGGTCAATCGGAGTTCTTGCCTTCATCATGTAAGTCTCGTGTTCCATATGGTGCCACGGCTGTCACGTACACCTAAAACAGCCGTCAAAACTAAAATGTACTCAAATTGATTCTCGTGAAACGTGCGGTTTCTGGCTCGCGTGCAGGATGAGCGGAGACTCTCCCTTCCTCGGCGCAAACGATCGCCTGACGGAGGAGAACATCAAGCTGTGCAAGCCTGACGTGAGCAAGTGCTACGTCAATGCCTCGCAGACGTCACTCCTGTTCGTCAAGAGGCTCCTCTGCATCTACCCACAGTACGTGCCCCCACAGGCGGACACCTCTTTTTAAAGTAGAGCATCTAAATCTATTGGAACAGAATTGTAATTAAAAGGCTATGCAGGAGGCATGTGGCACAGTTTGCACCAGCTATCAAGAGTGCGGGTCGTGTCACCACAGTTCCCTGTTATGAGTACAATGTCTTTAAAACAGCGGCGCAACGCCTCTCTGAATAAAATTAACGCTGAACCGCTTTCGCGTTCCGAGATGCAGCGTTGAACGTGACGCGCCACCCTGCAACTTGCAGATAGCTCGGAATGGGAGAGGCTTAATGATGAAACACTAAAGGATATTCAGTATAACTTAACAAGTAGTGATCAATAAGGCCTGCTGCTTTGTGCCTGAACGGCCTTTTTGTCAATCCACTGCTGAGTGAGGTCCACCCTGTACGATGTGGTTCATGGGGCTTATTTGATATATATGGGCATCTAGAAGTATGGTACAACAATTAATGTTTTTGCACTGCCTTCTGCCAACGTTACACAGGCCCATGGCCGTATGAGAGCCTGCGTGTGCATGGAAACAGTCTGCAGGCTCAAACCTCGCAAAATTTTGAGATTGAGATCTTGCTGATTTAGTCTTAGGTTTATTTTGCTTCACAGGATAGGCATGTTGACCACGGTAATTCCGTGAGTCCTCTTCTTTGATTTGCGAATAATGAACGTGTTTGCGAGCGGGCGGCTCCGACCCACGTCCACGTGTGCGGTCCCATCCTTCCGCCCCGTGCCCAGGAGCCGCCCGTCCGTGCAGGAGTGCATCTCCATGCCGTGGCTGCAGGACACGCAGCTCATGAAGGACCGCCGCACCATCCTCTCCTTCCCCACCTGGAAGCTGCAGCAGTACCTGCAGGGGGCCAACCGCCGGCGCCTGGAGGCCGCCACCAACCACCGAGTTCTGTTGCGCACGGGATCCACCTCCAAGTAGCCGGGGCGAGTGCCACAATCCTCAAGGCCGCAACAAACCACTGCTGGAATGAAGGCTGAGACGAGCCAAGTCCACGTTGACACGTCCGTTGTTTTGAGTTTTGGGGTGACCACAAAGTCTCGTGCCTTTTTATTGCGTTCGCCCCAGATTCAAAGTTGAGCTGAAAATGGAAAAAAAGTATCGCCATACATTTTCAACTGTGACCATTTTTAAATACAATCTTCGAGTGGTTTCTTTCAATTGATATTACATTTTATGATTACTGCTGCTGAATAGCTCTGATCAGGCAGCAGAAGTTATTTTGAAATGAAAATTAAAGTGCTTTACATTAAACAACTGTCCCCCCTGTATTCATTTAGAATCGGTCAAAAGTAAAAGTACGAGGAGGCACAATGGCGGTGTGCCATGCTCATTCATTGTAAGATGCGAAGTGCCGAACGTTCTTAACCGCTGAAAGTGACAGGTATTGGGTGAGTAAGCCACAATTGCCGGTCTCTGAAGCCACAACTCGAGCCAAATGTTTATAAAACAACACAATTTTCCGACTAGAAGGTGTTTACGTTTATTTTGTTTAGCCAAGTGAGAACTCAAAAGAGTAATCAGGGTTACCAAAATCACAAAACAAACGAAGTAAACTACAGTAACGAAGCAGAGTGCGGCATCATATGTCTGGTGCTGTCATCCTGGTTAAGCCACTGCTGTATGCGAGGCTTCTGATCTGTCATACACAGGCCAACAGAGGTGATTTATGAAAGAGATGGGAGAAAAAAGCTGCTACCGTTCCTGGCCGTGACACTTTCCTAAATAAGTTCGATATGCAATAAGGTGTCACTCTCAATTTAAGTTATATTTAAGATCATGCTTCCCGATTGTATTCATTCTCCTGTTAAACTAAAGCACTGTACGTTTAATGACAATCCCTCAATAATTACTGGTTGATCAACGGAGCTGTAAAATACATTACAATCAATACTCAAAAGAGTCCTAGTGTAGGGGCATAGATGCAGAGAAGGAGAAGAGGGGATCTTGAGCAACCTGTAAATATTAAAAAGGATGACATCCTCAGCTGTTGACTTTACACAAAAGGAACAAATTGAGAGCAGGGTGTGATCCCAGAATACTGCAACTTCACTTTTCCATAATGCTCCATGCTAAGTGGCACCCTATTGTTGGACTGCATTGCCCGATGGCTGTCATTGTATGGCGGAGGGTGATCCAGAATTACAGGGTATTGAGATGTCGTATGAAGTAGCATCGTATAGTGTAACCTGAGTTTTGCTTGATGGCTTCTGCACTACGATGGTATGCATAGTTTATACGAGTTCTTCAAAGGGAGTGATACAAATGTACGCCAATCAATATGAGCCCCACGTACAAATGTAGCTCTTGCTGCTTTACTGACAATGTAGCGGCAGGGAAGTACGCTTCTCAGTGTGTTTGGGTCTTGCATGTCCTTGGTTATGAATCATGTGCTGGCTGTAGCGTTTGTGAAAAACGTTAGGGCTATATTGCAGTTGTTTTATTTCTAAATTGACCAATGTGCTTGACGTGTGAAAACAAAAGCTTTCCCTCTCAGAACGGTGCAGGAGATGAAATGGGATGGGGGAAAATACATTTGGCAATAACGTGGATTTGTTTGGTCGCCTAAACAACCCACTCACTACTTTTGTAACTTGTAAGGCTCCGGGGTTTGGAAAAAGTGCATTTTCTTGTTGTAAAGGCCAACATTTGCGTTTTATAGTATATATTGAGCCTTAATGGGATTTCGCTAGAACTCTTTCTTTTTGACATTTCAAATCTAACCTTTCAAACCTAGCATGGATAATGTTGGTAATACTTCTGTTCTAAAATTATACACAGCAGCAATGCATGCCCTACTTCCATTAACAAAGGTATGTTTGACAGAATGATTTTAAGTAACCTGGATGAATATTTAATTTACATGGATCGTTCACGTGACATAGAAAGTAAATTTTGCAAATGCATTTAACTTTCACTTGTGAATGTCTTTGTATGTATTAGCATAGCTATCGTGAGTCTTTAATACGTGGGAAATGTGTGACCGTTTGGGACAATGACAAAAGCAGATGTGAACATTCAGTAAAATATGCAAACGAGAGAGAAAAGCTTGGCATCATTTACAGAAACCATCAGTCTACAGTTCTACAGTGTATGACAAATTAAATGTACATTGTAAACCAGACAACAAGTTGTCTTTCATTTAGCTCACTATAGAAATTAAGTCATTCTTTACAGCCCTTTTTCAATCCACTGCTGGATGAAGGCTTCCTTGTGCCGTGTTGAAGAGGTGAATGGTATGTGGAACGGTGCTGCTCCCAACCGCTTCACCAAATGATGTTAGCCGTGGCTGGGAATCTAACTCGGGTAACCGCGTTCATAGGAAAATGCGCTAACCACTGCATCACCTCTCCCCTTAGCTCACTGTGAACATTCTTGCTGGTTCTATGTTGACAAATTGAGGCATGATGAGCCTGAAATTGTTTCTTATTCAGCAACAGAGCTTACAACAAAAAAGCTTTACCTGAACAAATGACAGTCAAAATAACAAAAACGAAGCAGACATGGAACCCCTTTAACAATTACCGATTGAATCGTTTGAACACTGATGGTTTTGCATTTAGAGCTAGCTTAATGTTTGTCACGCTACCCTACTGTGGTTATTTTGAGCTGCGGGAGCTGCCATGCCTCTACAAGGCAAAGGGAAGAGTGCTCGGGCGGCTGCTGGCAGCTGACTGTGCACTTCTGCTTGCGAGGCAGAGTTGAGCATTGCTGTGTGCACAATATAGCAAGGGGCACCTTATTCTGTCCATTGGGTTACATTTTGAATTTTCAACGCACGCTGTATAGGTGTTTGGGATTTATGTTTCATTTATCCCACCTGCAATCGATGTATCGATGGCATCACTACACGGGTTTCCTATTTCAGCTTTCGGCCATCAAGTGCCCTCAGACGAGAGGCATATGAAGAGGAGGCGCACGTGAAGATGCTTCAGAATGTTAAGGGAGGCAGCAAAAGGGGTTGGAGTGGGGCCTGCAACTGCAAAACATTGTCACGACTCGCTAGGCAAGGATCTGCCTGACAAGGCGTCGACTGACGCTTGTTTATTCATAGTACGAGTTAATTTGTGGCAGAAAGGGAATACATATTTTAAAAATAACTTGTCTATGGAAATATTTCGTTCAGAAAATGAGCATTTTGGTAAGGAAAATCCCAGTGTAACCAACAGTGAACCTTATAAACTCACAAATCCTTTGTAATCCCATTACAGTACACATGAAATTTATCAATATTGTACTGGAATTGATTTTGGACCCACGTGTGAAAGGATCTGAAAAGAAGGAAACTTGGATGCATTATCAACCACTGCACCTGTTCATGGATTGGATTTCTTCCATGGAAAAGTAATAAAATAATTCATCATGTTTATTCCAGGAGAATTATGTCACTCTTTCCAAGTAAAGGATATCCTGCCTGCTAGGGTCAGGCAGTGCGTTGGATAACTATAGCGCGGCGGTTTTTTGTGAACGAAACATTATTTTATGAAACTGTGAAATTAAATGAAATATAACAAAACAATATAACAGCACCTTCACATATGGAGAGTGGTTATATTCAAGAATCTTCCACAACAGATGGTGCATGAGCCAACCACTCACAAGGAGTGGCTGTTTATTCCAGTATTTGAGGTACAGCAGCACCAGCAGGGTCAACCCCACCTTAACTGAGGGGTTTTCCCTCCCCCCAAGACCTCACAGAAATGCTCAGAAAGCCTGCGAACTTAGTCTTGGTGATCGAAGATCGGATTACCATTCTTTCCCTTAAGGATGGTGATTGGTGTGGTGCTGAAAGTTACTTTTTTGATGGTGTTAAGTGATTTGTTATAGCGTGCTACTGAGGCAGTTTCCATTTCCTCAGCAACTCGCGACCACCAGTCATCCTTGAAGCACCGCGCGGCTCTCTGAACCTATGAGCGGAGGCTTATGGTAAGCCTCCTCGTTCTTGGACAATGGGATGTTGTAGACCGTGGGAGTGGGCCTGCCACTTTCAAATAGCAGGAACACCTCCGTTAGCCAGAGTTTCTGGGGAGGTCTGGATTGTGTACCCAATGCAGCCATAGGAGCTGCATAAGTCGCTACCAACCCCAGTTGCAAGTGATGATGAAATTCCCGTTTGCAACCTTCATCAGCTAGACAAGACGAGGCCATTGTGGGTTTGAGCCGGGTCCTTGATGGATGATTGCCACCACAGTGAGAATATGGTAGGCGCATCCTACAGATGACGAGCCGATAGTCGGTAGGGAGATCGGCTCCACAGTAGGTTCAGGTGCAAAGGACAACAATGTACTTCAGCAGATGTTCTTGCTTGGACCTGGCGTGCATCCAATATGGCGTGTGAATGCGCCGCTGCCGAACAACGTGTTGGTGATTACAAGCCCATGGCTACACAGAAGTCTAGCAGCCTCCTACCGTTATTAAGCTGAACTGGCCCATGCCTTCCCATCAGTCTAGACCAGATGTCTGCGTCATGACCCACTAAACTCGAAACTTTTTTTATTTTACCAGCTAAGGGCAACCGAGGTATGTAGCTCTTTTTCAGAGGCGACCTGGCGACAAATGATAGCTCAACGAAGTTAACGAAGTGCCTTGTCATGTGGAAATTTATAGCAGCCCAATACTTTAAACGAATGTTTTAAAACATGTTTCTAAACATGCGTTTAGTCATTAAAGTCACCCAAGAGGATGACTATCCCGAGGGGCCACTTTAGCCAGCACCTGGGACAGGCCATATAATGTATCTGACTCATCATATTATGTGACTAACACAAGGTTAATTATATTGCTCTCCAGGTATTTAGCTTTGCATTTTCTTTGGAAATTAAGCGCACGAATCTGTGATCATTGTGTTGAATTTACCGTGAACATCGATTTGACAATTGTGAGGGTTGTCCATCAGCACAGAGTTAATTAATATCTAATTACTCTGCTGTGTTGACTCCATTTCTATTTCATGAACTTCTTTTTAAATTCATATTCGTGTCCATGCAGGTTGTAAACTATTTTAGATATTCTCCTCTCTCGTTCATCTGCAACTTATGCCTACTTTTGCATTGAGATAATGCTTTAAAAATGTTGTATATCATAAACGTCATTTCTTATTTACTGTATTTAAGATCTAGTCAGTTTCAGAACTCTACCAAAACTATTTAACAAAACTAATAATGATCATAATATTAAGACATCAGGTGTGAATTATTGACTACCGTACTAATGGGGTGATTAAGTGCACACTCGTTCAAGGTTACTATATTACCTATAAATGTGTCGAATTTTTAATTCCACTTTAAATAGTATTTTCAGCCGCGGCATGGAGTTGTGACCTCCATCCAGCCAAGGAATCAAAAGATTGCAGCAGATGCAAACCTGTAAATCCCTTATCAGTGTCTACCTTATTACAGACCATTCCAGACCTTATAAATCTCAACGTTCATCATATAAAGTCCCCATCAAAAGGGAAAAAACCCAAAAAAAATTGACGAAACAAAGTTTTTACTCAATTTCCCTGTACAAGAATACGCGTAAACCGTATGTGTTGACAGGTATGCACTTGTACACGTGCTCATTAACACGCGGCAGTATTCTCGTGCGAGTTGCTATCGAAAAGCTACACGCCGTTGCTTACACGACTGATCCTACCCAACAGCTGCGTGGAACCCACAGCACCAATGCAACAACACCTATTACCATGTCATAAGTGGCACTCGTGCTCCGCCACATTCGTGTTTGGCATGGCCTGCTCTGCGGCTTTAAACGGCATTTCCCTTTGGTTCTTTCGGTAAAGTCACGTAGGTATAAAGAAAATAAATCACGACGTTTCGGGCGCAACACAAGCGTCCGTCATCAGGTGGAAAAGCTGACAGACGCTTGTGTTGCGCCCGAAACGTCGTGATTTATTCTATACATACGTGACTTTACCGAAAGAACCAAAGAGTATGGATTCCTGCAGTCACGAAAGCTTCAAATCAAGATTAAACGTCATTGGTCAGTCTATGAATTGCCTACCTATTTTAATAATACCTGTAAAAGATGTGAACACATTATTTAGAATTCTCAGTTCAGATGCGGAATTTGAATCCGCATTGTGAGCGTCTGCTGCCATCTGGTGGCTGATGGAGCGTACGGTGGGTGGCAGACAATGGGCAGTGGCCCAAGCACATTTGTTCAACACATTGAGAGCTTACACATATACCGCCCTCTCCTGGTCATCAACATAAACAACTTTAAGTCTCACCGTAAAGACAGGTTAGTACGTACAGTACAGTGATACAAAGGACTCCGAAATAATCCTAGTACAAGACACTTTTTGTATAGCACCGGTGAATAAGTGCCTTGTTAATAATTTAAAAAAACCCATTGCAGTGAAGCGAATCAATCAGATTTGCGTTTATAACCTAGCTTGTGTGCTGACTCTATAGTTAAATTCCGGGATAAATTGTGCCATCGCTGATGGGACCTAGAACTCCTGCTTCACACTACTCGGGACAAAGTTGTCAACGTATCAACCACTCTCACCTGGCCCAGTCAATTACTTTGAGCGAGCTCATGCCGCCCCAGCATTGTGTACATGGGTCATTATTGTAAAAGTCATTGAATACAGTAATACATCCTGCAATTGCCCTACGTATGACGCATATTTATGGTAGCTCCTGCGACTATGAGCAATATCGTGCTAGATATTATTAATTACAGATTATTAATTACAGATGACAGGGTGTTTGATAACCTCCACACAACGTGTAACAACAGGCCCAGTGTACCTGCTCTCTACTCAAGCACTGCTGGTTCGATGGTGAGCCAGAGCCAGTGGTGGAAATTCCACATTCCAATGACGTGGGCAATGTGGATCACTGTTGACATTCCACGAAGTATTACTTCTTTTATCGACCCTCATCTCACAAGCTTAAGTGGCGCTCCGTTCATTGACTCTGGAATATGATTCTTTAAAAATACTCTGTACATTAGAAACTATAAGATAATGTATTTTACAGCCTTTTGTCAATCAACTGCTGGATGAAGGCCTATCCACGCCGTGTCGGTAATTATGGTGTATGGCCATACTTCATCACGCTGGTCTGCACAGAATTATTTTCCAATCTCTCTCTAATCTTCTCGCTTTCAACAAAACGGTGTCAATGTATTGTGCATTCAAATGAACGTTCTTGAGATTCTATGTTTACGAAAATTCTTGTTGTGATCACCAAACTGGAAAAATCAAGTTCTGAAATGAAATACAGTACCAAGCAAAAGCTGTGTCACTGCATTCTTCCCCGGCCAGCGAGTTTGTAAATCCACTTGTTCTCAAAATAGCTGCGGGAGGGTGGAGCGGCAGTGTCAGTGGACACGACATCGAGCCAGAGGGACACGACATGGAGCCAGAGGGACACGACATGGAACCAGAGAGACACAACATGGAGCCAGAGGGACACGACATGGAGCCAGAGGGCACAACATGGAGCCAGAGGGACAGGACATTGAGCCAGAGGGCACAACATGGAGCCAGAGGGACACGACATGGCGCCAGAGGGCACAACATGGAGCCAGAGGGACAGGACATGGAGCCAGAGGGACACGACATGGAGCCAGAGGGAAACGACATGGAGCCAGAGGGACACGACATGGAGCCAGAGGGACACGACATGGAGCCAGAGGGACACGACATGGAGCCAGAGGGAAACGACATGGAGCCAGAGGGACACGACATGGAGCCAGAGGGACACGACATGGAGCCAGAGGGACACGACATGGAGCCAGAGGGCACATGGAGCCAGAGGGCACATGGAGCCAGAGGGACACGACATGGAGCCAGAGGGAAACGACATGGAGCCAGAGGGACAGGACATGGAGCCAGAGGGACACGACATGCAGCCAGAGAGACACAACATGGAGCCAGAGGGAAACGACATGGAGCCAGAGGGACACGACATGGAGCCAGAGGGAAACGACATGGAGCCAGAGGGAAACGACATGCAGCCAGAGGGACACGACATGGAGCCAGAGGGACACGACATGGAGCCAGAGGGACACGACATGGAGCCAGAGGGACACGACATGGAGCCAGAGGGACAGGACATGGAGCCAGAGGACACGACATGGAGCCAGAGGGACACGACATGGAGCCAGAGGGCACAACATGGAGCCAGAGGGACACAACTTGGAGCCAGAGGGACACGACATGGAGCCAGAGGGACACGACATGGAGCCAGAGGGACACGACATGGAGCCAGAGGGACACGACATGGAGCCAGAGGGTCACGACATGGAGCCAGAGGGACACAACTTGGAGCCAGAGGGACACGACATGGAGCCAGAGGGACACGACATGGAGCCAGAGGGAAACGACATGGAGCCAGAGGGACACGACATGGAGCCAGAGGGACACGACATGGAGCCAGAGGGACAGGACATGGAGCCAGAAGGACACGACATGGAGCCAGAGAGACACGACATGGAGCCAGAGGGACACGACATGGAGCCAGAGGGACACGACATGGAGCCAGAGGGACACGACATGGAGCCAGAGGGACACGACATGGAGCCAGAGGGACACGACATGGAGCCAGAGGGTCACGACATGGAGCCAGAGGGACACGACACCCGACGAGGATTGTGACCGGCCGCTTCCTCACGGCCCCCACCACCACCACGGTGTCTGGTGGCGAGTTCGCGCCCCGTCACTATGCAGAGCACCTTTTAAAAACACAAGTAGCTTAAACATTACACGTGTATTGGGTTTAAGTGATCGAGGTAATCATGTAGGTTGGAAAATGGGCTGCAATATAAATGTCCGATATAGAAGTCTAACAGGAAGTAAATGTGACTTTGAAGGTTGTGTAGTATGGTGTCAATGAAAGCAACAAAAGGACTTTCATAGTTCATAAGTTTAATTGTAAGCACTGATAAGACATACTTAGGCGGATACTCTTTGGTTCTATTGGGTAAAGTCACGTAGGTAAAAAATAAAATAACAAAAATCACGACGTTTCGGCCACAACACAAGCGGCCTTCATCTATTGGTTCGATTGGGTAAAGTCACCTACGTGACTTTACCCAATAGAACCAAAGAGTATGGATCCTTGCAGTCACGAAAGCTTTAAATCTAGAATACTGAGGCGGCTCAACTGAACACTTCATCACATTCTGGCAACGTCATTGAAGTATCCCAACTTGGCGTGATGCATAACGCTATGCATACTAAACATGCGGTAAGTAGAAAAACAAATTCCAGGACGCTGTAGAACACCATCTGTCACAACCTTTGACAGATCGCAGGAAGTTGACCATCATTGTGGCGGCTGTCAGAACGCTGACAGCTGCTGCTGCTACTGCAAATTGGCGGGAAGCGCGCGCAGCGCTCCCGCTGCTGTCGTCACGCGGCCGCATTCAAAACTCCCCGCGCACCGCCCCCCTTGGCCGTGGTTACCCCGGCAACACCGGGGACATCCAATCGCGTAGCGCGCACGTCGCGGCGGAATGGGTGGGGCCACTAGCTGGGGGCGGGGTTGTTTTCTGGCGGCCTTCCCCGCCCCACCCCCCGGGAGTGGCGGTGTTCAGGTGGCCCCCACCGTTGTGAGGGGGGGGGGAGTCGTTTCGAGGCGGCCCGGCCGCCATCACGGTTTGTGCTTCACTTTGCTTCCCGCCATTTCCATCTTCCCCGTAAACGGCCACGACCCCCTAATCCTCGTGCGCGCTCTCCACATTGACCGCTTTAATCAAGGTACATCAATTCACATAGTCACTTTAAGATGTTTTCTTGTTCGTGTTTTTTTTGTTTGTTGTGGTTGCACCCGATTCAAAAGTCGAATGGCTCACAGGGCTATACCAAAATAAATAAACTGAAAAAAACTGAACTGATGATCGAAAAGCAATGCGCGGCGATGGCAGGCGTCTCTCGGGTGTTTTTGTTTACGTTCCGTTGAGTAATGGTGGGCGGGGCGAGTGGAGGGGGCCGGCATGGAGCCCAGCGAGGGAGGGGCTGTGGTGGTGGTGGTGGAGGCTGGAGTGGTAGGGGGAGGGGTTGTGGGAGTGGTAAGGGGGAGGAGTTTTGGGGGTGAAGGGAGGGGCTGTTGGGGGAAGGGAGGGGCTGTAGGGGGGGGGGCGCCTTGTAACTGACCCGGGGGCTGTTGTGGTTCTGCGCGCTGCTTGTTTTTAACTTCATTTATTAAATTATTTATCTACTCTCTCCCCCCCCGTTCCAACCCCCGCCCCCATCTCCCGCCCCGCCCCTCCTCCAAAACAACCCCTTCTCGGCGCGGCCTCCATGTTGGCTTCCGTCACGCCGAGCGACCGCAGCGACGGCGAGTCCAGCGACGACGACGACGGAGGTGGAGACGAAGGAGACGGGGAGGCCGAGCCGCGGCCCGCCCGCCACCCAATGGACGTAGCGTCCATTATCACGCAAGTGAGCATAGACGACGAACGCGGCGGGGGCGCCGCTGCTGCATCGCGAGGGAAAGGTGAGAGCGCGGGCTAGCCGAGTGAAGCGCGGTGTCGTGCGGGCGGGGGGCGAGGGAGACGAGGGGAGACGAGAGGGGACGGCGAGCGGGGTGGGGACGGCGAGCGGGGTGGGGACGGCTCGCTCCGCGTGAGGGAGAGAAAACGGCGGGAAGCGCGAGCTCGGCTGTTGGCGCCAACACCGAGCGAACGTGGCCCACGCGCGCGCGCGCGCCCCGCAGCCCCCCCCCCCCCAATGGTTGTGAACGCCGCGGCCTTTTCGCGCCAAGCGCAGCGCGTGCCCGGGCGGGAGGGGGACCCGTGAGGGGAGGGCGGGTGAGGGCGTCCATGGAAGGGGAAGTGAGGGGGGGTCAATGGGGGTGGGGATCAATGGGGGTGGGGTGAGTGGAAGCATGCGGGGTGGGAGGAGGGGAGCCTGAGGTGGTGGTGGGGGGGGGAGCCTGAGGTGGTGGTGGGGGGGGGGGAACCTGAGGTGGTGGTGGGGGGGGGAACCTGAGGTGGTGGTGGGGGGGGGAACCTGAGGTGGTGGTGGGGGGGGAACCTGAGGTAGTGGTGGGGGGGGGGCCTGTGGTGGTGGGGGGGGGCCTGAGGTGGTGGGGGGGGAGCCTGAGGTGGTGGGGGGGGACCTGAGGTGGTGGTGGGGGGACCTGAGGTGGTGGGGGGGGGACCCAACGGCCGCGTGTTTTTGTTTTTAACGAGGCGATTGCACCGCGTTACAATAAAAGCGCTTACAAAACGTGAGCGCGCTAAACCGTTTAAATCGCTGATGCGTCAGGGTTGGTGCTCCATGAGAATCTCGCACACGCTCCCGGTACCACACACCGTGTCGTCTTAAACGAAAACAACCTCTGCCAATTACAAACACAATAAGGCAAACCCTTCCTCCCGCACTGCGTGTGTCGTAACGCTGAGGGTAATCCTTGACAAATCTTGCGACATCCCAGCACCGTGTGTCGGCAGTGTTGATATTTTCGTTGAGCGTTGTGTAAATTGGTGGTGGTTGGGTTCGTGGTTTTCATTTCGCAGCGGCGCTTGTGTTTTGTGAAGCGACTACCACAAGGCCCGTCCATAGCCATCGCGCCTGCGAGACTCGATCCCTTGAGCGACACACGAGGCAGAAAAACTCTTATAATAAATGAGCTTGACATTGAACCTGTTCGGTGAGATAAAACCTGATAGCTCTGGCTCTATTCACACTTGTAGACCTGAAACATGTGCCAAACTATATCCCTAACTTGAGTCCCAAGTGACCTTGGTCCTACGAATATCCTTATGTAATTTGTGGCCAACGCTCATTCGCAGCTCGGCGACTGACCCTGGCCTTATCACCTCAGTAATCCTAAACCAACTTAGCCCTAAATTATCCCTAATCCGAGTATCAACCGTCACCTTAACAATCTAAACAAGACGTCTAATCCGAGCGCCATCCGATTGTTGTGCCTTTAATGGGATTCACACATGTTGTGTCTCAGCAGCAGTATCTTGTGGACGTTCGTACTAACGCCGACGTAATGGTGTTATTTTGCAAAAACTCGGAATTTGATCCCAAGATTCAATCAACTTGTCCAAGTTGATTCAAATCCTTGTTTTCAAACGTGTTAATCCTATTCTGTTTGTGAATATGTGGACTTTTATTTATTCATTGAGCTCGGGAAAGGGGAACTGTTGTTCATTTGACTTCACGTGCAGCGTTAATTTCCACGCCGTCCGACTATGTCCTCGGTTCACTGATGAGTTAAAAGTAGGACAAGATAAATAACGTCAGCTTGGCAGCTGAAGTCTATTAATGGAATTGAAACTTTAAAAAATGCGTGTGTGATTGGGGCGAGGGGCGACCTCGGTTGACACCACAAACGTGCCTTCCCATAATCTTGTTTTTTAGTCCCAAAACGAATGTTCAGAATGGTAGTTCGGCCGGTTTTGAGATTGGTATTGCTACCCACTGTGTGACATTGGAGAATGTGCCTTGAAATAAGGATGTACAGTATTCTGCACGAGCATTGGTGTAAGGAAAAACCTGTAAATGTATGACCAACTAAGCAACATTCTTTACTCAAAAAACACTGAGATGGCTTTGTAATGATGTCTCCTACATTTTGTTTAAACCTAGGTTGAGAAAACAGATTTTGAAAAGAATTGTTCTCCCGTTCAGCCCAACTGATAAGGGCAGATACGGTAGTCAATCAACACAACATTAAATTAGGGTTTTTCCCTGTGTCTTTCCACATTGTATTGGCAATATTTGAAGTGTAGATGCAATAAGTTATGTTTCAAATCTGTGCCAAAGTACTTTTTGTGGGAAGAACTCCATCCTTGCTGTAATGTTTATATCGTTATAATCTGCTTTATTGTAAGCACGTTTGTATTTAGTTGTTGGGCTTGCTGAAGCCAAATTCCGAAAAATATATATTGGAAGGATATTCGTCAAAAATATGTAAAGACGAAACTATATGTGTGCGTGTGTGCGTGTTAGGGTCGTTTAGTAAAGCTGTAGTGAAGAAAATCGAAACAAGAAAAGCCTGTTTGGCTCATTCTTCAGCTGCTTTCGCAAGTACGATGGCGAGCCTGCTGTCCCCAAAAGCATTGCCATCGAGGCAACCCAAGAAGGTGGAGGAGAATGGGGCCCTGCTCAAGGTGAGACCTGTGGTGTGCACAGGCTTCTGTGTCACCGAGTGTGCAGTGGAGAGCCGAATTTCCTACGATGGTGAAGTTATTACAAAGGGCAACTTGTGTGCACGCTTGCTTGTTTATAGCCCATGTAACGAACACCCAGGCTCGAACATCTGACTCGCATTTATCAACAAAAAGCTTTTCTTAGCAGTGTGTTGAGGGCACCGTAGAGCCAGCTAAACATTCATTGGAAGTACTAAATTTAAGCCCGTGTGGTATACCGTTGACGTTTCTCAAGAGTTTTAGGTGTACTTTACGCTTAGACCTCTCGAAACCTTTCGTTCGACCAGTGCTCGCATGGCGGTGTGCAGCGTCCAGTTTAGTAATGTGTCAATGATTTTCAAGTTTGAACGCATAGTGAAAAGGGCTGGGAATAATCTCAAGCAGTTTGTATGACATCTGAAGAAGTGCCAAAGGTATTTAATGCCTATAGAAATGTTTGTCATTAACCTTACCTTTAACTTAAATATGAATAAGAACTTATTTTGTGGTTAATGCCTTGTAACTTTTATACTTAACATCTGCATGGAACAACCTTTATTTAAAATAAAATACCCTGTTTGAATAAGTTTATCACCGAGACACAACGGTTATTGCTTGTAAAATAAAAGTGAAATGTAACCCTGCTGTGAATGCCACTTGCCCCTTGGGTAGTGTTGCCATTTATTAACTGCCCTCTATAAACGGTATTTATCACCCTGAACGTGCATCTCTTTTTGTGTAAATATTTCAAACAAATTGTTTTTCAAACTACTTTTATTTTGGGGGGGGGGGGAAATGTGTACCTTGCCAAGAACATTGCCTCACCAATGAAGTACATTGGTTCACTTTCAGTCAAAGGCATTGCCTCACCACAAGGGTGGATTGCATTACTGAGGCGGATTTCTCTTTCTCAGCCAGTGGAAAGGCCACTTTTACCAGAGCTAAGGCCCTTGGATGAAGGGAAGAAGTGTATGGTCATCGATCTAGATGAGACCCTGGTGCACAGCTCTTTCAAGGTATGTATGGTCCCACGTGCATATTGATGAGTTGTATTTTTCTACTGATAGCTCGTTGTTTAATACCTTAATGGCTGTGATGCTAGGCATTAATGTTGGATAACCTATAAATGTCATTGGTGATCATATGTAGACTATGACATATGGGCTGTGGCACGACTAAAAAGTATTCGATCATCACAAGCATAATGAGCATAATTGTCTTGGTCATATTTGTAATATTTATTTTGCTTTTGTAAAGTTTTCCATCTCTAGTAAATATTCGCTGGGTCTACAACATTAGTTTTTTGTAAATATTTAACGTTCAAATATGTTTGTATTCTTATTAGAGAGTTTTTTCAGTTGCAAATTGTCATTTATTGCCTCATGAATTGTAATGCTATTGTTTATTTTTTATTTATCTCTACGGATAAGTATTCGTTACTCACGTGAAGTAACATTATATCAAGTCGCATCTAATGGAACAGTATGTGTGGCAAACGTCTGTCCCAGCTAAAGTCATCATCCACAAACTTGTTTAATCACACTGGTCATAGAGGTTTAAATTTGGGGTGTTTTATCCTTGGATTAATTTGTCAAGTGTGTTTTTATCTTACAATGCAGATAATATTGTACATAAATATTCCCTTCCATAGAATGAAACTAGGAACAATTTTTAAATAGAGTAGTCCCACCAGTGCTTCTAAGGACATGTACAGTATATCTTGTTGTTCACCTTATATATTACAAATTATACCATGTACTTTTATGAAACCCTAAATCCTGACATAATCGGAATTGGCGATCTGTAAGGTTTTGAAAGTCATCAACTGGATTGCTTCACAGTCTTATCTGCAAGCTCATGTTCTGTATTCTCTGTAGCTACAAAGACATTCTTCATTTTATTCGTTTTGTTAAAATATTTTACTTTAATACTGGAAAGTCAACATGATTTAAACTTGCAGTTTCTGTGGTGACAAGGCACTTTCCAAATTGTGTGTAGAGCCAACGTATTCTCCGAAACACGGCAGTATTGAACAAAAATTAGATAAAGTATATTTTCCACGTCACATGCATGTCCAAACTGATTGCATGGCTTGCAGTAGCTAGCCACATTCACCCGTAGGCGTTTTTATGTGTTGACTGCCTCTACCAAGAATTTACATCTTTTTAAATTCTTGACTGTACAAGTTGTGTAAAAGCATCCACTGAGATGACTTGTGTCTTTTACATACACAAACTATCAATTGTAAAATTCTACATACATACAATATTATGATTCATAATTGGTTTATTTTGGGCGAGGTCGTGTAGATATGTATATATTTTAAAACTACTACCATCTACCGCCCAATAGAGCCAATAAAATGAAATTGTCACATGGGCAAATATATCAATTGAATTGGTTCAGCAAACTGGAGAAACGTTCAAAAGCAAGCAAACTATATGGGCATTTTTTTCCAGCACCATCAGGTTTTAACAAAAGCTCATCTCTCGCGTGTTTAACAAAAGATCGGCTCCATACTCTTTGGTTCTATTGGAGACAGACTCGTCCCTTCACCTGATGAAGGCCGCTTGTGTTGTGGCCGAAACGTCGTGATTTTTTGTTATTTTATTTTCACCTACGTGACTTTACCCAATAGAACCAAAGAGTATGGATCCTTGCAGTCACGAAAGCTTTAAATCTAGAAAAGATCGGCTCTCATGTAAGCGCTGAGCTTTTTGTTAACACCTGATGATGCTGGATGTTATGAATTAGCTGCCAAATTGAGAAGTGACATTACTGAAGTTGCCAAAGGCACAAACCTTGTTACCATTGCTATTCAAACCTTTAATGTGTGTTATTATGAATCACTGGGGCTGCTTATAAATTATTATTTTTGCATATTTCAGTTGAAAATCCAAGCACTCTGCACATTAAATATATTGGCTTTGAATGAAAGATTGAATTACATTGGACTGTTTTAAAACAATATATAGTTTTAAGTACAAAAAATCCTGTTGACACGCATGTTCCTTGATGCTTTGCCAATGTACATATTTTTTGGAAATAAGCACTATATACAATAGCATTTTTCTTGGAAACATGAGAATGGCATAACATTTACATTTGGCTTGTATCCCTAACCTGTACATCTGCCTCAGTATCAACTTTTACACAAGGCATGCTTATACAGTGAGATGATTGTTCCAATATAGTTATTGTTATATGTTGCTTACTTTTTGTTAATTGTTTTCTTTCAGCCCATTGAAAATGCAGACTTCATAATTCCAGTAGAAATTGAGGGAACAACACACCAGGTAAAGCAATAGCTCATGCACTAAATTGCATTTCACGTGTAAACATTGTTTTAAACTGGTCATGCCGATAATATGCTTTAGCTTTACTAAGTGTGTGGAGGTAAAGTCTTTAGGCTGACACCCTGTTCAAGTAATCCAGGATAGGCTGTGTTACTCGTGGGCCTTTCCTCGGTTGCTTGATCCGGGTGTAGTCTGCAAACGTCTTGTGTTCTACCTCTATTTAATGCTTACAATATATACAGCCAACATTTTTATTGCTACCTTACAAATTGTGTAATTTAAACGTTTTCTTCCAAGTGTATAACAATTCTATATTATAAATCATGTCATAATTAACTTAGAGTACTCAAACGAGAGTTCCTGTAACCAAGAAATTAGAGTTTTAAAATGTTGCCCTCAAACGGCTTCGCATTTTAGTGATAGCATTTTTAAAGTGTGCACTTGGTCCACTAGACCATTTTTTTATTTGTACATCACAGGTTGCTCCAAATAGGTAGCGTTTTTATTGGATGAACAGTTTAAAACATGTATTAGCTGGCTGTAATTTACAAAAACTATTGATTTAACAACATGGGGTTTCTCTTTCAAGAGCGATGTTTGTACTATATTTCCTGCAAAGCAAAGGTGTAGTGGCTTATTAGCTGGATATATCTTACAGGTGTACGTGATGAAGAGACCTTTTGTGGACGAGTTCCTTCAGCGCATGGGAGAACTTTTTGAATGTGTCCTCTTTACTGCTAGCCTAGCTAAGGTATTTATCATAAGTCTTTAAATCAACAAAATACAATCTCATTAACATTTTAACAACATATACAACATGATAATCAATGTCTTATGGTGTTAGTCTGCATGCACATTTTAAAATGCAAAAGTCCATGTCATGGGATAAAAATAAATTTCTTATCCACTGTAGTATGCTGACTGATTAGCATATTAATTTTAACAATATCAAGTCAGAAGCTGTTGTTACTTTTGAAATGTGGTATTTCTGGATCAGCAATTACATTAATGTGATCTGCTTTGGTTTTTCTAGACGGCAGTGCCTTGTATGTTAATGTGTCTTGTGCCTGTCTGATCGATCCCCTACCCACCTGTTGGTTGGGTCGTACGTGAACAGTATGCAGACCCAGTGGCTGACCTGCTGGATCGATGGGGAGTGTTCAGAGTTCGTCTCTTTCGAGAATCCTGCGTCTTTCACCATGGCAGCTACGTAAAGGACTTGAGTCGGCTCGGCCGTGATCTCAGCCAGACCATCATCATCGACAACTCGCCAGCCTCTTACATATTCCACCCGGAAAATGCGGTAAGAAATTATGTTTTGCTGCCTTGCAGTTACTGATTTGCACATATCACAGTGTTGTTAATAAGTAGGTACAATATAATATTTTAATTTATAATGTCACATTCCATATTTCACTTATGAAGTGATGTACCCGAACTGGTCCTGCCACACTGCCCCAATTATCAACCCACCCTGACGAGTTTAGTGAGTTGGCCAAACAGCCCCCTTGATTGACACAGCGTCAGGAGGCCTTCATTCAGCATTGTATTGACAAAGGGGCGAACATTAACTTTGTTGTAAATATTTAAGTGATATACAGTGATGCCTGAACTATTCGCATTAATGCTGGTGGATGGGACAGCAGGGGGCGTAAATGCAATGCGAAGAACAGTGTTAGTGGCACAACGCAAGGGGCGCATCTCCCTTAAACTCATCAGTACGCTAATGTTCAGTCTAATCCTTACGCGATTTGTTCTTTACAATAATGCATAATCGGCTGGGCAATACATTGGAATGAACAATTTTTTTAATTTCACTTTCACATTTGTTTTTATTTCCACATTTAAAAATATACAAAAAAAATTTAATGATTGGATTTCTGAAGGGAGCCTAATAAATGAGGTCCACTTTAGATTGGTCTGTTTCCGTTTTATACATTATGTATCATATAACATTTACAACCAAATCACGCAGAATCTTACCTGATCTTGTTAGAACCCAAGGGTTAAGCAGAGTTGAACCTGGTTAGCACTTGAATGGAAGGCTGTCTGGGAAGTGAACGTTTTGTGGGTTTGGGTGAAAATGACAGTACAGCATTAGATTCTTGAACCTGTGCAGTACCTTTTTAGCTACCATCCATGAATAGTTTTTATGTATAGTTTTCTTCCTAAATACCAAACACTTTATTTGAATTGTCCAAACATCCTATTGCAGGACTCTGAAAAAGTCTTAAGGCTCCGTGAGGCTTCTGGGCAAAAAATATTTGTATTATTATTACAGGGTAGTGTAAAAAGAGTGATACTTAAACAATTTATTGGCTTTTAGTTTGCATTGCCACTGTCTTTGCCAGGTGCCAGTGGGTTCATGGTTTGATGACATGTCCGACATGGAGCTGCTGGACCTCATCCCACTCTTTGAGGAGCTCGGTAAAACCGAGGACATCTTCACCATCCTGCAGCGTCATCGGCAGAGGTAGCGGCCACTTTCAAAAGAGCTGCGTCGGACACCAAAAAAATGAGACTGCGGCAAAGTTATTTCCAGCAATATTCTTTACCAAATTAGACTCTCTCGGTCTGTTGTCCAGGTGACTGTAAGCAATCGGTTAGATACTGATTGAACATTATTGGTGAAAATAACCATCTTGTCCGCGGCAAGTACTCATGAGGTTTACTGAAACTGCCAGTTAATGACCTGACATGTTGTTAGGAGGTGTCACTGTCTCGTGTTGCTGGTGGTGGATAAAAGTGACTGTCTTTCCAGTCTTCCCGAGATCAACTGCATGCCTCTCATTGTTGTGGAAAACTATCCAAATTATAAATCCTGTGCCCTCTTGGGGGAGGGGGGGGAGTAAGCTCGCTTATAAAGGTGACTGTGCCATCAAACATTTGCTTGCTTCCTCCTGAGCCTTACCTTTTATGCTGTTGCCTGCCATTCACCAGCACCACGGTTGCTCTGTGTGTCAATTTATTTTACATTAAACAGCTTAATTGGTTGTGATTGGCTTTTATCCAAATTCACACACACTTGGAAGATGTATTTTCTCTTATCCTGGAGACTGGTTCCTCTTTCATAATATCAAGCGTTGATGATACAGTATGACTGTCTCAACAGAAGATGTTGCCACCAAACTGCTATGGAAAACCTCTGCAGTTTTGAAAAGACTTTGCACAACGGTATCACTAGGGAAGCTGGTGGTGGAATGACATGACGTAACATGTCTTCATTGTGCCAGAAAAACAGTTTTTTGTTTTAAGGCGTTATTATATAGATATTTACTTTTTCCCCTTTTATAACTTAAAATCGCGTTGAGTGTATTGTGAACGTTATATGGGAAGTTGGGAGGGCTTTTTAATGTCTTAACTGTTACAATGTTACTAGGATATAAAAATAATCTATTTTTGCAATTTTGGGAATTCGGATTCAAGTCCTTAAGATGCTGTAAAACTGTAAAGCACTTGCACCTTAGCGGTGTGTGCTTTTCAAGGCTGTGTTTGCATTTGTGCATGTTTTTTTTAAGTCATGAGTGTAAAATTTGTAAAGCTTTGGCAAAATATTGTATGTGATAAACACCAGTGTTTTCATATTTTAAGTTTGGTAGGACCAAACAATGTCTGGCTTTATTATTGATCTCTACAATCCCCATTATTGAGGACCAATGCAACGAAAGGTTCCGTATTGTGAAATGGCAAACCATGACAAAATAGATAATTTAGTGTGCTTTATTTTTTATTTACTTTTTTTATTTTGATCCTACACATTTGGTTTGTTTGATAATACCTTTTAAATGTGGACCTTTTTAATTTTGGTTGTAGTAAAACTTTGGCATTAAATATAGCAGTTACCATTTCACAGTAGCTTGTATGTACTCTTGTGGTCATGACATGTTTTGGTTTTTAGGTGCTCATTGAGTAAGATAATAATTTATTTAATATTATTGTGTTACATAAATACACTTGGTACCACTACAATATTTTTTAATTATAGTGTTAACGAATTTCGTACATCGTTTAAGGTTGCTGTTAATAAAGGACATATGAGGGTAGATTTTTGTTAACGTTGCTGTCATCTCTACGAGATATTAGGAGGGAAAAAACTACCACATTGCCGGATATAAATTGTTTATTACCAAAGCAAAGCAGACTTAATTTAGTTTAGACTTATGGAATAAATCTGTAATGCTTTAATGAGAAGTAACATTTTCCTAGTTTTTCTCCAGTATACAAGTGACACCTTAGTTCATTACGACTACTGCGGGACACCTCATGGTTAGATAATAATAATTTGGGTTTTAAATTTGCGTTTGAAATTGCAGAATACAGCTGTGATCCCCCAGACCAGTTCTTGTGAACCTGTTAAGGATGACACAATTGTTCTTCCTATTTCCAAAAATCATTGTCAATATACAAGATCAGCTGTGTATTGGAGAGGTTGCATCTTAGTAGGAATATGAACAAGAGCTGCAACTGCAGGGTGTGCCAATCTGCTGTACTCCCATCACAAACTCTTGTTCACAACTGCAGGGAGACCCAATGTGCATTGGCCTCATACAGTGAGGGAAAAAAAGAATTTGATCCCCTGCTGATTTTGTACGTTTGTCCACTGACAAAGAAATAATCAGTCTATAATTTTAATGGTAGGTTTATTTGAACAGTGAGAGACAGAATAACAACAAAATCCAGAAAAACGCATGTCAAAAATGTTATAAATTGATTTGCATTTTAATGAGCGAAAGAAGTATTTGACCCCTCTGCAAAACATGACTTAGTACTTGGTGGCAAAACCCTTGTTGGCAATCACAGGTCAGACGCTTCTTGTAGTTGGCCACCAGGTTTGCACACATCTCAGGAGGGATTTTGTCCCACTCCTCTTTGCAGATCTTCTCCAACTCATTAAGGTTCATAGGCTGACGTTTGGCAACTCGAACCTTCAGCTCCCTCCACAGATTTTCTATGGGATTAAGGTCTGGAGACTGGCTAGGCCACTCCAGGACCTTAATGTCTTTCTTCTTGAGCCACTCCTTTGTTGCCTTGGCCGTGTGTTTTGGGTCATTGTCATGCTGGAATACCCATCCACGACCCATTTTCAATGCCCTGGCTGAGGGAAGGAGGTTCTCACCCAAGATTTGACATTACATGGCCCGTCCATCGTCCCTTTGATGCGGTGAAGTTGTCCTGTCCCCTTAGCAGAAAAACACCCCCAAAGCAAAATGTTTCTACCTCCATGTTTGACGGTGGGGATGGTGTTCTTGGGGTCATAGGCAGCATTCCTCCTCCAAACACGGCGAGTTGAGTTGATGCCAAAGAGCTCTATTTTGGTCTCATCTAACCACAACACTTTCACCCAGTTGTCCTCTGACTCATTCAGATGTTCATTGGCAAACTTCAGACGGGCATGTATATGTGCTTTCTTGAGCAGGGGGACCTTGCCGGCGCTGCAGGATTTCAGTCCTTCACGGCAAAGTGTGTTACCAATTGTTTTCTTGGTGACTATGGTCCCAGCTGCCTTGAGATCATTGACAAGATCCTCCCATGTAGCTCTGGGCTGATTCCTCACCGTTCTCATGATCATTGCAACTCCACGAGGTGAGAGCTTGCATGGAGCCCCAGGCCGAGGGAGATTGACAGTTCTTTTGTGTTTCTTCCATTTGCGAATAATCGCACCAACTTCATCATTAGACCTCTTTTGCCAGTACCAAAATGTAATAATAGGGTTTTTCCCCTTTTTTCTGGCAACAAAAGTGAAACCTTTTTTTGCATATATTATCATAGTATGTTTTTTGTTTGCATTTTGACTGCAGGTATTGTGGTTAATGCAGACATGAATCCTTGTAAAAAGGTGTCAGTTTTGTTGCCAGAAAAAAGGGGAAAAACCCTATTATTACAATCGCACCAACTGTTGTCACCTTCTCACCAAGCTGCTTGGCAATGGTCTTGTAGCCCATTACAGCCTTGTGTAGGTCTACAATCTTGTCCCTGACATCCTTGGAGAGCTCTTTGGTCTTGGCCATGGTGGAGAGTTTGGAATCTGATTGATTGCTTCTGTGGACAGGTGTCTTTTATACAGGTAACGAGCTGAGATTAGGAGCACTCTCTTAAAGGGAGTGCTTCTAATCTCAGCTTGTTACCTGTATAAAAGACACCTGGGAGCCAGAAATCTTTCTGATTGAGAGGGGGTCAAATACTGATTTCCCTCATTAAAGTGCAAATCAATTTATAACATTTTTGACATGCGTTTTTCAGGATTTTTGTTATTGTGTCTCACTGTTCAAATAAACCTACCATTAAAATTATACTGATCATTTATTTGTCAGTGGGCAAACGTACAAAATCAGCAGCGGATCAAATACATTTTCCCTCACTGTAGGTGTGTCAGAAGGACCTTTTGAATGTTGCAGCCTCATGGGTTACATTCATGTCATGAGTTTACGTGCAACATTGTCAATTTATGATGATAGATGTGCCTAGAAAGGCCTTAGATGAGGTTGGGAATAACTCTGCCATGGTTGACCTCTGGAAAAGATATCGATTTGGGACCAAGAGAGTATACATATAAAGCACTCAGAATTGCTCCCAAAATTTCTGGAATACTGCTTCAGAGACTGGTGACGGATGCTCCCCTGGGCATTCTAGAGCAGATCAATGTATGTCCCACAACTATATTAGACATGATGAACCATTGGTAAAAGGTTAAACTTTAGGATGTGACATTAATCCTACCTGATCCTCATTGGCAGGAAATAGTAATGAGTGAAGGAATGCAGATAGGCATATTTCATGTTGATCCCATACTGGCCTTTTAAAAGTATTTTATCCTGAACTTTAGCAAAATGTTATATGCTCCATAAATGTACAGTGGGCTTAGTGGTTGCAAAACCTCTGGAGTCACAGGAGAAAGCATTTAATAACCATCAAACAATGAATCCAGGTGCATTATCCCCTAGCTAGTATATCAAACTGCATATTTTAATTCATAAAATAATGCCAATATGGTGATGAAGTATTTTCGAAATCACTTAAGAGACATACCCAAGCCTTTTTTGCAAACGTTGGCATTCTTTATGCCAATAACCACTGAATCAACGTTCATTGAGCACAATAAAACCAACTAAGGGTAATTACAGCCTGGAAATACCTAAAGCACATTCATGGACCTACCTAAAATAGGGTTTCATACTTCCTGTGCTCTTGAAGGACATTGCATAGTTGAATGCTCCCGAACCACATTTATAGTGGGATGGTAGAAAATATCTGGTTCCTGCAAAGATTATACATGTAACTTTATGTAGTTGTGGAAACGTAGTTGATGGTGCAAGAAAACATGTATTTTGTTGGAATGGTTCTACAAGTCGGGTATGTGCCAATACTGAGAAAAACTCATTTTGAACATCACTAGAATTAAAGGAATGGTTGCAGTCCTGATAGTTAAAACATGCTGTGTGGTTACCCACGAGGCCAGAGCAGGCAGAAATTAAATGTTGCCAAGGGTTAGCCATAGCAACGTGGAGATGTGTTAAAGAAATCAGGCTGCAACTCCGATATTGCTCTTTTGATGTCAGACGGGAGGCTGGATTATGGTAAAAAAAATGAAATTACATTAATATTACGAAATAATTCTTACATGTTAGGTTTTTTTTCTCTTCTAATAGTGACAGTAACAAACATTTTGGCAGCTTTCATTTTAATAAGTGCCTAAAAACCAAAACATTGTGTAATTTATTATTTGTTCATTTGTCTGGAATGGTAGACCAATTAACACTGTTGTGGGTGTTTTGATAGTTAAAACATTTATTAATAATACACCTAGCATATTCCACTATCGATTTTTGGAAGGGTGCGAGAAGTTGGGCTGAAGTGATCACTGCTGTGCCTATACCAACTAAAACACTGTGCTATTAAACACAGCAAGATTTCAAGACTTGAAATTACATTCTGCACAGTTTGTCACAAATTTGTAATATAAGGTACTCCAGGGGTTCCTTTTTTAGTTTGTAGTCAAATGCTTTTAATACAAGTAAATAAAGCCATAACATTAATGTTTAATTTCTTTCTGTTGTGAGTTACAGTTTATGATGCTGATTGCTTAAGTACTGTATGTACTTGTTTTTAATAAACCTTTTCATGTATGACTTGGTAAGCCCTTTTCTGATGTAAACATTTAACCGAAGATGTGTTTATCCCGATGCAGTATGATTGGTGTGCAGTCCTGCTGCTCGTCTCGCCAACCTCGTGCTAGCTATCCCCAGTTCCCCTGCATTGGGGTGCCAGATTCACCATGGACTGGGTTGTGAAAAAATAGTTCTGGGGAATGGAAAAACACTGGTGGGTTTTTTTTTTTAAACATTCTCCCAAGATAACCACAAGTGATGGCAAAATAAATTGTCAAGTTGTAGCAGTAATTACATAGACACGATCATGTCACCGAGTTCATAAAACTCCACCTTGACTTGCACAACAAACACCTTACCCAGCGTTTATCTCCAAGTTACACCAATCTCAAGTCACCATGTTTACCGTGTATCATATTTTCTGCACACTTAAACACATTACCATAATCAGATTTGTTTAATCTTAAGGGGCATAACACTAGGCAATCCCCTAACGCTGAGGATTCAAGATAACTGAGCCTTCACAGAGGGTTCACCTAGATTGCGGCAAGGTAAAAGGAAAAAAACAACAAACCTACCCTTACCCTAGCTTTTACCTTACCACATTACAATCACTCTACCCTTACCTTTTACCCTTACCCCATCCAAATTACCAAATTACAGGGCAATTACTGGGGTACTACACATGAAAAATGTTTTCACCCCGACGTCCCGACCTCTGCCTGGGGTGAGGACGTTGTGCTTCTTGAGAGCTTTCCACCCCAACACGAGGAAAACCACTTGCGGCAGTGTACGCACTGCCGCTTTCCTTGCTGCACATGGGGATCACCCTGCATCCAATCGTGCGTGTGCTCCCACGGGATTGCTATTCGCAGCGACCCCGAAAATGCCAATGCTGGCATCCTCGACCTCATCCTCAAGAACGTGGTCCGTCTCCCAACTGGTCCGACATCAATGATTCAAATTCTAAATGGAAGCCACGGACTGCGC